CAAGCAGGGGAGGGACAGAGAGAGGGGGAGAGAGAATCCCAAGCAGGCTCCGTGCTTTCAGTGCAGAGCCTGATGCAGTGTTCAAACCCACAAACTATGAGATCATGACCTGAGCAGAAATCAAGAATTGGATGCTTACCCATCTCAGGACCCAGGTGTCCTGAGAGAATCTTTTTGTTGTTGTTTTATTTATTTGAGAGAGAGAAAGAGACAGAGAGAACAAGCGGGGGAGGAACAGAGAGAGGGCAACAGAGGATCTGAAGCAGGCTCTGTGCTGACAGCAGAGAGACCTATGCAGGGCTGAACTCACTTAACCGTGAGATCATGACCTGAGCCAAAGTTGGACACTTAACTGACTGAGCTACCCAGGTGTCCCCAAGTCGTAATATATTTTAAAAGATTAAAATCATAAATTATCTTTTCCAATAACAATAGAATAAAACTAGAAATCAATAACAGATGAAAAACTGGAAAATTAAACCAAACTCTTAAACAACAAATGGGCCAAAGAAGAAATTACAAGAGAATGTACAAAATACATAGTGACAAATGAAAACAAAAAAACACAAAATACCAAACCTTATAGGATGTGGTAAAAGCAGTGCATTGAAGGAAATCTATAGCTATAAATGCACACATTTAAAAAAAAAAAAGTTCTCAATAACCTAACTGTACAACTTAAGAAATTAAAAAGAAAAGAAAAGCAAACTAAACACAAGTTAACAGAAGGCTAATTAATAGTAAAGATCAGAGTGGAAATAATGAACTATAAAATAAGGAAATAGAGAAAATAAAAAAAACTAAAAGTTGGCTCATTAAAAAGATCAACAAAATTGACAAACATTTAGGCTAATAGAAAAAATTCAAACTAATAAAAACCAGAAATGAATGTGGGGACATTATGACCAGACTTAGAGAAATAGAAATTATTATATGAGAACACTAAAATGATTATATGCTAACAAAATACATAACCTAGATGAAATGGACAAATCCCTAGAAACACACAATCTACCGTTGACCCATGAAGAAGTAGAAAATCTTAATAGACTTATAACTCTAAGAAGATTGAATCAATGATCAAAAACCTCCCAACAAAGAAAAGCCCAACACAGATGCCTTCACTGGTCAAGTCTCTCTCTCTCTCTCTCTCTTTTTTTTTTTTTTTTTTTTTTTTTTTAAGAGAGAGAGAGATTGAGAACACTTGAGCTGGGGGAGGGGCAGAGGGAGAGAGTCTCAAGCAGACTCCATGCAAATCGAGGGGCCTAAGGCGGAGCTTGATCCCCCAACCCTGGGATTCTGACCCAAGCTGAAATCAAGAGTCAAATGGTCAACAACTAAGCCACCCAGAAGCACCTTCACTGGTCAATTCTACTGAACATTTTAAAAAGAAGAAACACCAATCCTCAATATCTTCCCGAAAATTAAAGTGGAAGTTTTACTTGCCTAATGAGGTTAGCCTAATGCTAAAATCAGAGAGACAAAGACAAAAACTATGGACCAATATCCCTTATGAATATTGATTCAAAAATCCTCAATAAGGGGCACCTGGGTTGTCAGTCGATTGGGCATCTGACTTTTGGTTTCAGGTCAGGTCGTGATCTCACGGTTTGTGAGTTCAAGCCCCACATCGGGCTCTGCACTGATAGTGTGTAGCCTGCTTGGGATTCTCTCTCTGCCTCTCTCAGGAGAAATAAATAAGCTTTGAAAAATCCTCAATAAAATACTAGCAAAATGAATTCAATAGCATATTGAAAAGGATTATACACTATGACCAAGTGGGGTTCATTCCCAGAATGAAAGAATGGTCAACATGAAAATCATTGTAATAGATCCCATTAACAGAACGAAGAAAAACCCCATGGAAACTTTTCAATTGATACAATAAATAAAATACTTAGAAATAAATTTAGCCAAGGAGGCAAAAGACTTGTACACTGAAAAACAGCAAAGATCACGAAGTTAAAGAACATATAAACAAATGAAAATACATCCCATGTTCATGTAGTGGAGGACTTGACACAAGTGATCTACAGATCCAACGCAATCCCTATCAAAAGCTGTGATTTTGCAGAGATAGAATAACTCACCCTAAAACTCATATGGAATCCCATATAGGGATCCCAAATAACCAAAAGATCTTGAAAAAGAACAAAGTTGGAGTATCTGGCTGGCTCAGGAGAGAATGCAACTCTTGATCTCAGGATTGTGAGTTAGAGCCCCATGTTGAGTGTAGCGATTAAACATAAAATCTTTAAGGGGCGCCTGGGTGGTTCAGTCGGTTGAGTGTCTGACTTCGGCTCAGGTCACAATCTTCCTGTTTAGGAGTTCAAGCCCCACATTGGGCTCTGTGCTGACAGCTCAGAGCCTGGAGCCTGTTTCAGATTCTGTGTGTGTCTCTATCTGCCTCTACCCGCTCGTGCTGTCTCTCTCTGTGTCTCTCGAAAATAAATAAACATTAATAAATAAAATCTTAAAAAAAAAAAAAAAAAAAAAAGAGGGCACCTGGGTGGCACCATCAGTTAAGCAACAGACTCTTGATTTCTGCTCAGGTCATGATCTCACAGTTCATGGGTTCAAGCCCTACATTGGGCTCTGCACTAAGTGTGGAGACTGCTTGGGATTCTCTCTCCCTCTCTCTGCCCTTCCCCCTCTCACACGGTCTCTCTCAAAGTTAACTTAAAAAGAACAAACAAGTTGAAGGACTCATTTCCTATTCTAAACTTCCTAGAAAGCCACAGTTATCAACAGTATGGTGCTGGCATATAGGCATATAGATGAATTGAAAAGAACTCAGAAATAAACCCTTGCACATATCATCGATTTTAGATAAGGGCACAGACCATTTGTTATGAACTGTTTGTGTTCCCTCCCCCCGTCCCCATTTAAACATTGAAGCTCTAACCCCCAATGGGACTGTATTTGTAGACAGGGCCTGTCAACTGGTGATAAAGTTTAAATAAAGTCATAAATATGGGACCTAATCTGATAGGGCTGATGCCCTTATAGAAGTAAGAGACATCTGAGATCTCCTTCTCTACCATGTGAGAGCACAGTGAGAAGGCAGCTGTTTGCAAGCCAGGAAGAAAATCGTCACCAGGGTTGAAATCAACCAGCACCTTGATCTTGGACTTAGTCTCCAGAACTATGACAGGTTTGTTTTTGATAAATTTGGTTTTTAAGCCACCAGTTCTGTGGTATTTTTATGGCAGCCTGAGCCAATACAGGCATACCTTGTTTTATCATGCTTTGCTTTATTGTGTTTCTTACAAACTGAAGATCTGTGACAATCCCATGTCAAGCAAGTCTATTGGCAGTATTCTCCCAACAGCATTTATTCACTTTGTGTCTGTCACATTTTGGTAATTTTTGCAATACTTCAAACTTTTTCATCATTATTACATTTGTTATGGTAACCTGTGACCAGTGATTATGATTCACATGATGACTACCATTTGTTTGAAATAAACTGTTCAAGGTATGCACACTGGTTTTTTAGACATGCTATTGCACACTTAATACGCTGTCCCGTAAATGTAATTTTCATATGAAATGGGAAACCACAAATTCATTTCACTTGCTTTACGGACATATGTGCTTTACCACAGTGGTCTGGAACTGAGCCCTCAAGATCTCTGAGGTATGCCTATACACCATTCAATAAGGAAAGCCAAGTCTTTTCAAAAAATGTTGTAGGATGGGGTGCCTAGGTGGCTCAGTCAGTTAAGCGCCTGACTCTTGGTTTTGGTCATGACCTCACAGTTTGTGGGTTCAAGCCCCACATTAGACTCTGCGCTGACACACAGAGCCTGCTCAGGATTCTCTCTCCCCTTCCCTTTGCCACGCCACAACTTGTACTCTTGCTCTCAAAAATATATGAATAAACTTTTAAAAACAATGTTGTAGGGAAAATTGGAGGTCTACTTCCAAAAGAAGGAATTTGGACTCTTACCTTATACCATATTAAAAAATTAGCTTAAAATGGATCAAAGACCTAAAACTACAAACTTCAGAAAAAAACAGAGGGGCAAATCTTCCTAACCTCGGACTTAGCAATTTCTTGAGCAGGACACACAAAGCACAGGCAACAAAAGAAAAAAATACACTGAACTTCATAAAAATTAAAAACTTTTGTGCAACAAAGGACACTAATAACAATAGACAGAACTCACAGAATTAGAGTAAATATTTCCAAATCATATACCTGATAAGGGATTACTACGCAAAACATACAAAGAACTCCTACACCTCAACAATAAGAAAGAACCCAATTCAAAAGTTGGCAAAGGACTAGGACAGACATTTCTCCAAAGATGATATACAAATGGCCAATAAGTGCCTGAAAAGATGTTCAACATCATTAGTCATCAGGGAAATGCAAACCAAAACCATAATGAGATACCACTTCACACCCATTAGTATAGATATTATTTTTAAAAATGGAAAAATTGGGGTGTCTGGCTGGCTCAGTCAGAAGAGCATGCGACTCTTGATCTCAGGGTTGTGAGTTCAAGACCCATGTCGTGTACAGAAATAAATATATCAACCTTTAAAAAATGGAAAATAACAAATGTTGGCAAGGATGTGGAGAAATCAGAACCTTCTATTCATTGCTGGTGGGACTATAAAACGGTACAGCCACTGTGTGGAAAAGTCTGGCCGCTCCTCAAAAAGCTAAACGTGGAATTACCATATGATCCAGCAATTTCACTCCCAGGATTATACCCCAAAGTACTGAAAGGATCCAAAAAATACTTGTATACAACACCCAAGTGCCCATTAAGAGATGAATGGATAAATAAAACATGGTATCTACAATCAAGGTCATATTTTTCAGGCATAAAAAAATGACATTCTGATACAGGTTACAACATGGATAAATCTTGAGGACATTATGCAAAGCGAAATAAGCTAGATATAAAGGGCAGATACTATATGACTCCATACCTGAAGAAGCCAGAATAGGCAAATTCAGACAGAAAATAGAACAGACTGTCAGCAGCCGAGAGAAAGGGAGAGTTATTATTTAATGCGTACAGTTTCTGTTTCAGATCATAAAAGTTCTGGAAATAGTGGGGATGGTCATACAACATTGTGAGTGTATTTAATGCCACTGAGCTGTACACCTAAAAACGGTAAAAATGGTAAGTTTCAGGTTATGTGTATTTTACCACAATATCACCTCTATTAAGATACACGGAAAAGGATGAACATTATGCTAATCTTTTTAAATTACAATATGTAAATATGTAGAATTTTTCCAGTGTGACTTTTCTAGGATCGAGGAAATAACAAAGGAAGATCCTCTGTGCTGCAATGACAAGCACGCAGTATTTTCTTTTGACAACGCGCTGAACTGTGTGAAAGGAAGCTTATGCTAAATCAGCAGTAATGGATTCATTTTCTAAACGGGGGGAATCACAAGAACTTCTTTTTGCCTACCTCTCTCTCAATTTCTCTAAAATGAACATGCACGGCTTCGGGATTAAGGAAAGAGTTGCATTTGTTTTTAATTAGAAATGCCCTTCATCTGTGACAACACTGTATGGACAATAAATAAAGGGGTGGGGTGGGTCATATGGAGAAGTGCACAGCAGAACTCATGGGCCCTCGTCCACAGTCACCTCGCAAAGTCCTCCCGGAGGTGAATCCTCTGATGCTGGCACATGTTGGAACTGTGCCGGAAGGCTTTCCCACACTTGCTGCACTTGTAGGGCTTCTCCCCCGTGTGGATCCTCCGGTGCTGGATGAGGTAAGTACCCTGGCTAAAGGCTTTCTTGCAATCGCTGCATTTGTACGGCTTCTCTCCGTGGTGTGACCTTTGGTGGTGGATGAGTCTGGAACTGTTGTGGAAGGCCTTCCCACACTCACTGCACTTGTACGGCTTCTCTCCCGTGTGGATCCTCTGATGCTGAATAAGGTGTGTGCTTTGGCTGAAGACTTTGCCACAGTCATTACACTCATAGGGCTTCTCTCCAGTGTGGCTTCTCTGATGTTCAACCAGTTTGGTTTTTTGGATGAAGGCTTTCTCACATTCATTGCATTTATAGGGTTTCTCCCCAGTGTGAATTCTTTGATGTTGGATAAGGTTAGAACTTTGGGTAAAGCCTTTGCCACATTCTTTGCACTCAAATGGCTTCTCTCCAGTGTGAGTCCGACGATGCCGGATGAGGATTGAGCCATCACTGAAGGCTTTCCCACAGTCATTGCACTTATAGGGTTTCTCTCCAGTGTGGATTCTCTGGTGGTAAATAAGGGAAGAATAGGCACTGAAGTGTTTCCCGCAATCACCACACTTGTAGGGCTTCTCCCCGGTGTGAATCCTCTGATGCTTCATGAGGTTGGGCCTTTGGTTGAATGTCTTCCCGCACTCACCACACCGGTAGGGGATCTCCCCTGAATGCATCCTTCGGTGACTGATGAACTCGCAGCTCTGGCCGAAGGCTTTCCCACACTCTTCACACTTGTAGGGCTTTTCTTCGCTATGAAGCCGCTGGTGCTTGACGAGGTTAGCACTGTACCTGAAGGCCTTCCCACAGTAACCACAATGATGCAATTTTTTCCCAAGAGGAATTATCTGAGCTTCTTTAGCCAGATTTGCACTGAAGAATTCCCCAGAATCATGGACTACATTTATCTTTTTTGTCCTGTGTACACGCTTATGGTTATTGAGGTATGATCTCTGTTCAAAACTTTGTTCACATATATCACATTTGTGAGGTCTCTGGTCAGAGATCGGGCTTGACTGGAAGCTGAGGCTCCCTGCAGACTCCTGGATGCTCTTCTCATTAGTCCATATGACTGGCCTCAGGCATCTCTGTTCCACAGGCTCGTCCAGGCTGTCCTCTGGCTCCCGGACACACGCACGGGCCTCTCCAGGCTCAGGTCCCTGGGAAACAGCACTCTGGAGTCGATCCAGTTCTTCCCCATCAAGCATTTCTCCTGAAGACAACTCACTGTACTCAGTCCTGGTCCCACGAGCTGAAACAACAAACACATCTCTGGACCACCTGTTCTGACTTCAGAAGGAAGGTACGAAGATGCTGCCAACCATCGGTGCCGTACCGATTCCACCATCTCCAGGGTTACAACGCCTTGCAGAGAGGAGAGCCGGTAGCTCAGAGGCTTAAAGAACTTACCCAAGGCTGCAGTCATGTGGCAGTGCAAGTATTTAAACCAGGCCTGACGAATTCTTCCTGCCCGCCTTCTGCCCACAAAACCTTCCTAAGTGCGGCTATAGGGCGCAGGTCCTCATTACAAAGGGACAGAACATGGAAGCTTCATGCCACCACGGAGACCAGGGGGCCCTGAGAGTCACAGAGGACATCTGACAAAGAAGGGAGTCTGAGGCCACTTGACAACAGCTAATTCACCCCAAAATTCAGGGTAGGAAAACCAGGTGCCTCCTCAGGACATCAGAAGGCCAACCTCGTGCCAACCATGGGCCTTGGTGTCCCTGAGCTCCCCCTCGCAGGCTATACCCATTCCTGTGTCTTTTCTCAGGGGCCTGAGAGGCAATTACCAGCCCCTTAAACTCAAGGTGCCACACAGAATGGTTCCTGATACCCTCAAGCCTCCTCTCCTTCCTGCCTTGACCAGACATTCATACACCAACTCCCCTTGCAGAAACATACCACCAGAAAGGTACTTTCTGTGAACCAAGAGAAACATCCACAACGACCCCAAAACGGGGACAACCAAATGTCAACAAGAATGGAAAATATCTTGGAGTGCCTGGGTGGCTGTCGGTTAAGCATCCAACTCTTGACTTCAGCTCAGGTCATGATCTCACAGTTCGTGGATTCGAGCCCCACATCAGTGTGGAGCCTGCTTGGGATTCTCTCTCTCCCACTGTTTCTGCCCCTCCCCTGCTCTCTCTCTCTCTCAAAATAAATTAAAAAAAAAAAAAGGAAAATAATTTGTGGTAGATTCACATGGCAGAGCATCATGTGGCAATGAAAGAGAACAAACTGAGTACACCACAGCAGCCCTCACAACGTTCAGATGGTGAGACAAGACACAGAGTTGAGGGGCAGAGTGCTGTCCCCAGGAGTGAGAGAGAAGGGTCCTGTGAGGAGCAGTGGGAAATGACAGGAGGCCCAGTGGGCTCCCAGGGAACTAGAAAAGTTCTACATCTTGATCTGGAAGAGGATTTTTATAAAAATTCACTGAGTTATAAACAAGATTTACCCTAGTTCTAGAAGTATTTATATTTGAATAAACAAATTTACAAAAGAGAAATTCAAGTCCTTTGAACCAAGAGTTGCTTCTTAGGACATCACCAAGACGTGCAAAATAATGCTTATCAGAGTTGTTCATGGCAATGAAACTACAGAGCACCCTTTCCACTGGCACTTCCAACAAAACCAGTGACTGACTTGTGCATAAAGAGGGACACTCATTGGGGCGCCTGGGTGGCTCAGCAGGTTGAGCGTCCGACTTCAGCTCAGGTCACAATCTCACGGTTCGTGAGTTCAAGCCCCGCGTCAGGCTCTGGGCTGATGGCTCAGAGCCTGGAGCCTGCTTCTGATTCTGTGTCTCCCTCTCTCTCTGCCCCCCCCCCCCATTCATGCTCTGTCTCTCTCTGTCTCAAAAATAAATAAACATTAAAAAAAAATTTTTTTTTTGGGCGCCTGGGTGGCGCAGTCGGTTGAGCATCCGACTTCAGCCAGGTCACGATCTCGCGGTCCGTGAGTTCGAGCCCAGCGTCAGGCTCTGGGCTGATGGCTCGGAGCCTGGAGCCTGTTTCCGATTCTGTGTCTCCCTCTCTCTCTGCCCCTCCCCCGTTCATGCTCTGTCTCTCTCTGTCCCCAAAATAAATAAACGTTGAAAAAAAAAAAATTAAAAAAAAATTTTTTTTTAATAAAAAAAAAAAAAAGATGGACACTCATTGAGTGAAAAAGGAGGTGACAGCAGTACACTTGGGAGCACTGCATCCCTGTCAAGAAGCAACATTCGTATGGGCGTGAAACAGCACGAGAAAGGGGAGAGTAGGAACACACTGGTATCTGGGTGATGACATATTCTCTCTTTCTTGTAATGGTCCGTGATTGCCAAGTGGCAATTTTAGTAAAGGAGAATGAAGCGATGGTCTCCATACTATGGCCCTGCCTGACCCTCCTCACAGGGCATGAGCTCTGGAGGGCAGGGCTCCATGAGGTCCCATGGACCCAGCCTTCCCTCACAGCATACCCGAATGCCCTTCCCTCTTCTCCTCTGCCAACAATGCCCCCTCTCACCCTCCTAGAAGATTCAGCTCAAGAATTACCACAATTACTCAGAATAATGCTGCCCCAATGCACCTTGTTCTCAATTCCGGAACCATTAACCATACACCCTGGACTCCAACAGATGCCTGTTCACCAGCTGTTGGGGAAGAGGCCCCCTTCACGCACCTGAGACACTGACTCTCGGTCGCCCTTTCCCTTTGGCACCCTGTGCATCCAGGACCCATGGTTCATCCCCTCGCTCCAACTGTGTGATCACCCCAGGCTTGGGACCTGCACGTCCAGCTCCTAAGAAGAAAACAGGGCCTGGGATTGGTGCCAAGGAACAGGGCTGCACTGAGCATGATCTCACAACGTCTCCTTCCTGTGGTAGGAAGAGAAGCACAGGCAAAGTGGGGTGATGGGGAGTCTGGACACTCTGGAGGGCTGGGGGCAGTCATAAAGAAGCAAATTGAACACAGGGAACAAAAGTGCAGAGGGCTCTCTCCTCTTGGAAGGTACACAGTCCCTCTGGGGAGGGACCTGTCTCGGGTCTGGAGCAGGAGGCACTCTTATCTGGGAGCTCAGAGTCAGATGACAGAAGCACAGACCCAGCCCTGCCTGGCCCCTCCTCTAGCAGACCAGGCCTGCCCAGGACCAGGGGGAAGAGGCCCCCAGCCCAACCCCTGTTGAGCCCTCAGTTCCCGGGGCTGTTCCCTGAGCTGCATCCTAGTGAGGGGCCTTACCCAGGGAGACCAGATTCCTGTAGGTCTCCAGCATCACGTCCCTGTAGAGGCCCCTCTGAGTAGGGCCCAGACGGCCCCACTCCTCCCGGGAGAATAGCACGGCCACGTCCTCAAAGGTCACCTCAGCCTGGAATGACAAGGGCTGCTGCAGGCCCAGGTGCGACTCAGCATGGGCCCTGGGGGCAGGTGCCGCAGAAGCATTCTAGGAGCAGCAGCACAGGGGCAGCTACAGGAATGATCCCCCAGCATGACCCAGGGGAGTGGCCCGGGCCCTTGGCTGCTAAGCCAGCTAACTAAGGAAGGCCGGGGGAATCCCAGGGTCACTCCTCCTCTGCTCAACGCCCCAGACCAGACATGCCTCACAGTGCCTGCTGAGGCAGCAGAAGCAGGAAAGCCCCAGGGAAAACGGATGCTCACCTGGGGCAGGGCAGACAGGTGCAAAGTTGCCATCGCCTGGTACCCTGGGCTTCCAAGGGGAGGAAGTCAGCAGTAAGCCACACTGGTGCTGAGGGAAGAGAAAGGAAGGAAGAGAAAGGAACACGTGGAGGCCCAGCCTGGCCTCTCCTGTGGGCACCTTCAGGACCATGTTCATCCCCATCAGGGCACAGCTGGCCTCCCAGGCTGACTCTGCTCCCTGCCTGGGGCTACCCTGCCCAACCTGGCACCCAGTACATGGACACGTGCACAACTCCTCGGGTCATCTGCTCCCCTCAACCTCCCTGACACGCCAAGCTGTCTCATTCAGGAGAAAGACGGAGATACCCATTCATTTTACACGAAAGAGTAAAGACAACTCGTTAAGTATTGAGGAGAAAAAGAAAAAGAAAATCAACGGAAGGCATAGAACAAAGTCAAAGTACAGATGGCAAAAAATACAACAGTAGTGGAAACAATTCAGTGGATGAGTAATGATAAGAAATAAAACAATTAAACTCACCTACTAGAAGTACAAGACTCTCCAACAGATGCACACAACGCCTACATAACCTAAAATAAAGTAACACAAAGGCTGAATACAAGACAGATTAAACATACACTAATTAAAATAAAGCTGTAGAAAATATATACCTTTTCTTTGCCTTTAAAGCTCTTCATTGAAATATGACATTTATGAAGAAGAGTTGAGAAATCCTGAACATACAGCTCCAGGGGCAATCACAAGGGCCCACACCGACAGAACCAGCATCGACGTCAGCCCTCCTGCCCCTGCAGGCACTGCTTCCTCCCTGAACGCCCAAGAGTGAAGCTCTACCCTGAATGCCACCACCACAGATCAGCTGTGCCTCTGGTGAGTTTTTTATCAAAGGAAATATAAGCTGTCTATGCTCTTGACTTCTTCCCCTCATTCATGATATTTGTGAGCTTTTAATATGCATTGCTATGTGTGGATCAGCATTTATTTAAACCAATTAAGGGGCGCCTGGGTGGCGCAGTCGGTTAAGCGTCCGACTTCAGCCAGGTCACGATCTCGCGGTTTGTGAGTTCGAGCCCCGCGTCAGGCTCTGGGCTGATGGCTCGGAGCCTGGAGCCTGTTTCCGATTCTGTGTCTCCCTCTCTCTCTGCCCCTCCCCCGTTCATGCTCTGTCTCTCTCTGTCCCAAAAATAAATAAAAAAACGTTGAAAAATAAAATAAATAAATAAACCAATTAAAACAGAACTGAAAGCAAAAATTATAGGAACAAAAATAACAATACACGTTAATAAAAGGAAAATCCACCAAGAAGACGTAATTACAGACATGTATGTATCTACCAACAAAATCCAAATGTAGAAAGCCAATGCTCTAACTGAAGCAGCAAAGAGGAACCTGGCAAAGCTCCACTGGAATGAGAGATTCTAACACATATCCCTCAGAAGCAAGAGGACTGAGTAGAGAACAGCCACTTAAAACATACAGAATAGACACTTTCCAAGATGCACATTCAAAACTATTAAAATAACATCATGAACCAGGCAACAATGAAAGTTTCAACAACTTCCAAAGGCTGACATCATTTGGGAAAACATTCTCTCACCAGACTGCTGTTATGCTGGAAATATATGCTAAAAACAAGTACCCCTTTCCAGAAAACCATAAAAATGGAAACAGGCCACCTAACAAAAAAATATACATTCTTTAAAAATTTTGTTTTAATGTTTATTTATTTGGAGAGAGAGAGCACGAGCAGGGGAGGGACACAGAGAGAGAGGGAGACAGAGAATCCCAAGCAAGCTCCGCACCATCAGTGCAGAGCCCAACAAGGGGCTTGAACTCACTGAACAAGAGATCATGACCCGAGCTGAATCCAATAATCAGACATTTAACCAAGTGAGCCACACAGATGCCCCGAAAAATGTGCATTCTTAATGCACTTATTTTAGCATAAGAGAGACTGAAATAAACTATCTAAACATTCAATAAGAAATTAGACACAGACTGAGAAAAGTGGATTCAAGGAAAGATTTAAAAAAAAAAAAAAAAGAACACCACTCAATTTAAAGAAACAAAATAATATCTGGGGCACCTAGGTAGCTCAACTGGTTAAGCGTCTGATTTGATTTCAGCTCGAGTCATGACCTGACCTCACAGTTTGTGAGACTGAGCCCGAGATGGGCTCCACACTGACAGTGTGGGAGCTTGCTTGGGATTCTTTCTCTCTCTCCTCTCTCTGCCCTGCACCCCCCTTGTGTGTGCTCTCTCTCTCTCTCTCAAAATAAGTAAACATTTTAAAATACATAAAATAAAGAAACAGAAAATAACACTGGTCCTTTAGAATGCTAATAACAAATATCTGGCAAGTCCAATGAGGGGGAGGCAGCACAAAGGATAGAAAAAGAAATACTATTAAAAACAAAAAAGTCAGGGAGGGGGGCACCTCAGTGGCTCAGTCAGTTAACCGCCCAACTCTTGATTTGGTCTGTCATGATTCGAGGGTTGTGGGATCAAGCCCTGTGTCAGGCTCCACACTGAGTATGGACCCTGCTTAACATTCTCTCTCTACCCCTCTCTCTCTCTCTCTCTCTCTGCCCCTAGCCCCTCTCCCCTACTGACGCTCTCTATAAAATGAAATGAAATGAAATGAAATGAAATGAAATGAAATGAAATGAAATGGGGGACACAACTCTACATACCATACACTCAACAATGGCCATCAAGTGTTGTCCAAAATGCCAGGGACAAAATGGTAAAACTTCACTGAAGGACATCAAAAAGACCTACGGAGAAACAGACAGTATTCATAAATAGGAGGATTCGATTCATAAAAATGTCAGCTCTGCTCAAATAAACCTATTAATTCTGTGCAATCAAAATTGCAACAGGACATAACACAAAATCTGACAAAAATGACTAAATATCAAAATAATGATCCACGATTAACTAAGACAATGCCAAAAAAGAACTAAGGTAGGCAGAGGCATGCCCTCCCACCTATCAAGACTTACAGTAAGGCTATGGTAATAAAAGCAAAGTGTAAGCAAAGTAAAGAAGATAAGGAACAGACCCATGCATATGTTAATGACATGCTATTCATAATGGTACCAACACAACTGATTTTCCTTAGGAAAATAAAATTCAATCCCTGCCTCCTATGGCCAACAAAAATATATTTTAAGCACATAGAAGACCTAAATATTTTTTTTTCAAATTACAGCTATTCTAGGAAAATACACAAAATACAGTCCATAGAGGAGAAGTTGCTTAATTTTACTCCAAAAATTTTTCTGTACAAAACACAAAATTAAAAGACAAGATGCATTGGGGCGCCTGGGTGGCGCAGTCGGTTAAGCGTCCGACTTCAGCCAGGTCACGATCTCGCGGTCCGTGAGTTCGAGCCCCACGTCAGGCTCTGGGCTGATGGCTCGGAGCCTGGAGCCTGTTCCCGATTCTGTGTCTCCCTCTCTCTCTGCCCCTCCCCCGTTCATGCTCTGTCTCTCTCTGTCCCAAAAATAAATAAAAAACGTTGAAAAAAAAAATTTTTAAAAAAGACAAGATGCAGAGTGAAAGATATTTGCAGACATAATACATAAGAAAAGATACACAGAATATACCTTAAAACACACACACACACACACACACACACACACACACACACACACAGGACAAGACCATTCATTTAAGAAACTAAACACAGAATGACTTGGTAAGTCACAGATGATGAAATCAAAGAGTCCAATAAACATTTGAAACGATCTTCAACGTCATTGAGAATTGGAGAAATGCAAATTCAAGACTTCTCTCCCCACAGTTTGGGAAAAATATAAAATGCTTCGCAATATCAAATGTTGAAGACATAAAGAACAATGAGATTCTCAGGGTCCTGCGGGAGTATAAACTGGTACAGTCACTCTGGAAATCCACCTGGCACCACCTGGAAGAGCTGAAACCCTGTAAATTCAGTCAGAAAACCTAATTCTAGGTGTGTGCCCTATAAAAACTCTTGCTAATGCACACAACAAGATACACAAGAATGTTACCATGTGGCTGTGTGTACCAAAACAAACAAACAAAAAAACACCCCAAAATCAGAAACTTCAGTATGTACTATCAGGGAACAGTCACGGTCACAGCGATTGAAAGAAATGAACCACATCAATGTCAGAGGCAATACAAAGCTATAAGGTTGAATGAAACTGTTAAGTGCAGAATATCAATAGTACATAATGTACGGTATGCAGACTTTTAAACACAAAAACTCTAGTGGGTATGTAAAGGTATAAGAAAATGTGTTGACAGCAAAATAATAATCAACAGAGTGAAAAGGCACCTAAGGAATGGGAGAAAATATTTACAAACCATGTATCTGATAAGGAATCAAGATCTAAAATATATAAAGACCTCACACAACTCCACAGGTTAAAAACCAAAAACCCAACATAAAATGGGCAAAGAACCTAAATTTCTCCCTCAAAGCATACAAATGACCAACAGGTACATGAAAAAGCGCTCAACATCACTAGAGAACTGCAAATAAAACCACAATGAGTTATCACCTCACACCTGTCACAATGAGCATTATCAAAAAGCAAAAGATAAGTGCTGGTGAGGATACGGAGAAAAGGGAGCCCTTGTGCACTGTTGGTGAGAACGTAAATTGGGGCAGCCATTATGGAAAACAATGCAGAGGTGCTTCAAAAAATTGAAAATAGAACTAGCACATGATCCACCAATCCCACATCTTGTTATATTATCCAAAGGAAATGAAATCACTCCCTGAAAGAGAGATCTGCACTCCCATGGTCACTGCAGCATTATTCACAATAGGCAAGACAAGGAAACAACCTAAGTGTCCAACGATAGATGTAGGGATACAAGATGTGGTACATATACACAATGGAATGTGACTCATCCACAAAGAATGAAATCTTGCCATTTGCTACAACATGGGTAAACCTGGAAAATATCATGCTAAGTGAAATAAACCAGACACAGAAAGACAAATACTACATGATCTCACTAACATGTGGTATCTAAGGGCCCAAATCATAGAAGCAGAGAGTAGAATGGTTTGGCTGCCAGGGTTTGGGGGTTGGGAAAAATGGAGACATATCCATCAGAGTACAAACTTTCAGTTGCGCTAGATGAGTAAGTTCTGGAGATATAACATACAGCACTGTGACTACAGTTAACATTACTGTATTGTAACTCTGAAACTTGCTCAGAGGGTAGATCTTAAATATCCTCACCACAGAATAAACAAAAAAAGGGCACCTGGGTGGCTCAGTAGGTTAAGCATCTGACTCGATATCAGCTCCAGTCACGATCTCACTGCTAAGATTGAGACCTGCATCGGGCTCTGTGCTGACAGCAAAGAACATGCTTGTGGTTCTCTCTCTCCCTCTCTCTCCGCCCCTCCCCTCCTAGTGCTCACTCTCCCTCAAAACGAAAGAAAGAAAACAAAAAAAAAGCAAATGGTGCCTGTGTGAGGTGCTGGATGTGATTATCTCACAATGTACACCTGTATCAAAACATCAAGTGTACACTTAAAACTTCCACAATTCCTGTTTGTCAATTACACCTCCATAAAACTAAAACAAAATAAAAAACTGCTGAAACTATGTCCAAACTAAGGGTTGCTTAGGGAAGCAAATGGGACTGGGGACCCTGCCTCTAAGGGCAATTTCACTTCAACAGCTTTCTTAAAAAAATAAAAACAAAAACTAGGAGCGCCTGGCTGGCTCAGTCAGTAGAGCATGCAACTCTTAACCTCTCAGGGTCATGAGTTCAAGCCCCAGTTCAAGACTCTCATGGAGTCTACTTTAAAAAAAAAAAGGAGGGGGGGACGCCTGGCTGGCTCAGTCCCTATAGTATGCTACTTCCTTAACCTTGGGGACACAAGTTCAAGCCTCACATGACGCATAGAGATTGTTTAAAACAAATAAATAACGTATTTCTTAAAAACTGAAAGCTTGAAATACACGTGGCAAACCTAGTCACTAGTGTTTGCTAACCTATTCTCCATATTTTTAAGTTTTCTCTAAAAAAGATTTTTTTTTAATGTTTTCAAAGCACAAAAACATGGTGTTTTTAAATACATTTTTTAAAACGTCTTCAGTTCCTGACCTTGAATAGAGGCCTCTAAGAAGACACACAAAAACGTGGCTGCTAGGGGAGCCTGAGTGGTTCAGTCGGTTGGGCGACCGACTTCAGCTCAGGTCATGATCTCACAGTCTGTGGGTTCCAGCCCCCATCGGGGCTGCTCCGAGCCTGCTTCGGATTCTGTGTCTCCCTCTCTCTGCCCCTCCCACACTCACGCTCTGTCTGTCTGTCTGTCTCTCAAAGATAAAACAAACATTAAAAAATTAAAACAAAAACAAAAACAAAAAACGTGGCTGTTAAGAGAAGGCCTTGGAGCGCCAGAGGCAAAAGAGGATGGTTAGGAAGGTATATCGGTGGGGCAGGCATTTCGGGGAATTGCTAAAGGCAAGAGGGAAGCGAGGGGCACGGGAAGGGGGATGGTAAATGGGAAGGACAAGAGCCGAGGAGAAAGAGTGTGTTTTGGCATTAACTGACCCAAGCTAGAGACCCGGTGAGGAGAGAGATGGGGCTAGGGACAGGGAACAGGACGACTCAGTGGAGAAGCGGGGGGGGGGGGGGGGGGGTGGTGGTGTGGAGAGCTGGGGAGGAGTGGGGAAAACAACCTGGACCCACATGCGAGGGAAAGACTCGGCTCAAGCCGGAGGCTATGGTAGCGGGGGTTATTTGGAGGGCTGGCTTACCGTCTGCGGGGTGGAGAAGAGCTGGCAAGGAGAGGGCCTCGAGTCACCAGGCCATGAGGGTCCCGGGCATCCCGGGACGCAGCCCTCTAGGGCGACCTGGGAAGAGGAATGCGGTGGAGAGACGCCGAGGCTCCCGGAGTCATAAAACCCGGGAAGGGGAGTCTCGGGCGGGGCAGGGGCCCGGCAAGGAAGGACTCCCGGCCAGGGCGATCGGAGAGCGGGACGCCAGGTTTGGGGAGGACACCAGTCGGGGTTTGGGACCCATCGGAAAACGCCGGAGCAGGAACAGGGCTTTTCGTGAGGACTCCGAAAGTGGGGAGGGAGCCTGCCCCGAGGGACGCCGGGCGGGAGAGGTTGTCGACAGCGGGGTGGGCCCCGGCCCGAGCATCGCGTTGCTACAGGGAAGGGCTGGCACCCCGCGCCCGGGAGACCTCGCGGTCACCGCCGCCCCCACCCAGCCACACTCACCTCAGCACCGCAGAGGAGCCGCCGCCGGGCCAGGCCCCAATAGCCCCACCCGCTGCAGCACGGCAACCCAACCGGAAGTGACCTCCCCACCCCGCGTCCGAAACCGGAGGTACCCTGGGGCCGCTCTGGGAAACGGACTCCTCGTCTCTGTAGTTAGTCTCCCTAAGGAACTGTTAACTCCGTGCCGGAAGCCTGGAGCGCTGCCACTGGGTGGCAGCCTGGAACCATAACCCCGAAGCTTCAGATCCGAGGCAAGGGGAGGCTTAGGAACCCATTTCGAAGATTAATAAACTACAGCAATTTTCAGGGGAAAGCTCTCTAGTAATTCCTCAAGGCACTGCCACCAACAAAAGAACAGGTCCTTTCCTTTTCAGAGAATGGCAGAGAAGCCACGTGATGACCAAGAAAGATGCTTATTGGTTAGAGCCCCTTTAGTTCAGCACACTGAACGCAAGCTGCGTCCACTCTAACTGGGATAAGGGGTTCCCGGGTGCTTGCGAGTAGAACAAAGCCTCCCTGGGGCCACTTCTTGGCTAAGGATCCAGACCACTTTATCCAGAAGGGGAAAGCAGTGGCAGGCAGGTTATTCTACAGATCAGGTGACCAAGCCTAGCCCTCTTTCGTTAAAGAGGAAACCCCAGCCTCCTGTATGTTCTACCCATTACCAAGGCCTAGCCCTGCTAGGTTCACTGCCTAGGTGTGGTGGGTGGTCAAGAGGCCAGTGGAGACCGGGAAAGCAAGACCTGTGGGCTAGGTTCATGCCAGAGACAAGTGCAGACCCCACCAAGAACCCACCTGGCAACAACCAAAAGGTCTGCTCTCTGGTGGGAGACGCCTGACTGCACACAGCCTCTCGAAACAACCCTGAGGTGACTGGTTCTGATGCACTCTGGGAGATGGTCCCCAGGAACTCTCAGTCCCTTGCCTTCCTGCCTGTGGTCTGTACAAGGAGTGTTCTACCTCAACCAGCCACCAACCTCTCTGCCCCCAGCCTTCCTGCTTCAAGGTATCACTTATAGAGGGCTGCAGCCCCTGCTTTTTACACAGGTTCACAAAGGGAACTACTGGGGCAGGGAGCTCTGGGAAGCAAGCGTCCCGGTTCTGAGGCTGCCATTACCATCTCTGAGCCAGACTGGCTCAGCATTATCTGCCTTGGATCTCCCACCTTTGATGAACTGTCCAAAGTTTGGGACAAGGTACCATGAGCCAAACAGGGAGCCCATTTGTCCTGAGAAACGAACCTATCCTGGTCCTGGCTTCCCACTGTAGGATGGCTTCCTGGCTCTCCAGCCTGCAGCTTCAGGAGCACCTACCTCTCTCACCCCAAAGGATCCATACCCTGACTTAGATCCTCCAAGCACTGGAGACAAGTTAACACAGATGTGGGCAGAATTCTCTGCTCTGTGTACTGCACGGCACAGTAGTTTCCAGGAATCAAGGTGTGAAGATCCCTAGCACCCCACCTCTTCTTTCCAGAGCTTTCACTGTTCACTGATGCATCTAACTTCATCTTCCTTCTCCTTACACAAAGAGCTCCATGGAGGTCCTCCCGGCAAAGACCCTTCCCTCTGAAACCACAAGCAAGCACAGCTTAGTGGCAAAAAGACAGATTTTATTGAGCTCCTCGTCCCTAGTTTTCTTTCTCCTGCACAGTCTTGGTTCCCCGCAGACGCCCGGTCCGGCGGGCAGCAATAAGACCCACTTTGCGGCCAGCAGGAGCATCTCTGCGGATAGTAGAGGGTTTGCCAATGTGCTGGTGGTTGCCACCTCCAAAAGGATGCTCCACAGGCTGCAAGCAGAAAAAAGTGGTATTAACATAGGGATGTGGACCCCATCTACCTCAGGACTTGGATAAGAGCAGGATCAACTGACACGTGCCAACAAACCGTAACACAAAAAAGGCTCACGTTACGTACCCTCTACCACAGAGAGGAGACACTCCAGGAAAGCACCTGTCCATCCAGCCTCCCAGCCCCCAAATCCCTCAACACCCAACTGCCCGATTTCTGGGTTACTTACATTCATGGCCACACCACGCACACGTGGCCAACAATTCCTCTTTGCCTTATACTTGTGGTAAGCACGCCCAGCCTTCAGAATGGGCTTGTCAATGCGGCCACCTCCAGCCACCACACCTGTTGGGGAGATCAGGCACCTGAGGGAGGTACACCATACCCTCCCAGAACTTCAGGACCCTATCAGGCTCTAAGCATCCCATCCTTGCCAGTACCCCACCCCCACACCAACCACCCTCTCACGACAGTCCTACACCATCACACAGTTCCCAAAATTTCATTAACACCCCAAAACTACCACTGAGCATTAAGACCCTTCGCAACCCAGTAGCCAACATTAAATTTTTCTGGATTTCTCAGGCAGCCAAGCCAAGCCTTTCCCCACGTCATCTGTAATGTCGACCTCAACCCATGATTCTCCACGGAAGCTCCCACTTTGCTGTGTCGGAGTGGATCACTCAATCTAACCTCCAAACACCAACAGGATGGCTAACCCAGCCTGACACACACATCTTGGCCAATTTTGCTTACTTCGTAGTAAACATACACTCGACAGCATCCCTTGAGTTTGCCACAAGAATAAAAAGATGTTGCCCAAATAGCAAAGTGAGCCAGGGCTCAAATCTTCCTTAAAGCATTTCCTAGTAGCTTAAAAAAAGTTACACATCCCTGAAAAAGCTCTTAACTACATGGACGTGACAGCAGGAATCACGGAAGGGCAGATTAGGCCACACTACAGACAAGTCTGACCAACAAGTCCCAAAGCCCAGCTCTAGCTGTTGACTTCACAGGCACAGTGTTCAACTGCTGCCTGCCACTCACCAACCACAGCTCTGTTGGCTGAAGAAATTACTTTCTTTGAGCCGGAAGGCAGCTTCACTCGAGTCTTCTTGGTCTCTGGATTGTGGGAGATGACAGTGGCGTAGTTTCCGGAGGCTCGGGCCAACTTGCCCCGGTCACCAGGCTTCTCCTCCAGACAACACACAATAGTGCCCTCAGGCATAGTGCCCACCGGGAGCACATTGCCTATGTTGAGCTGGGCTGCAAGAAGCACCATAGGTCAGTACAGCAAAGTGGTCCCCCTTAACTACTGCTGATCAGAAGCAATGCAAACCCAAGTCCCCAAGAAGGCCAGCACAGCCCACAACATCCAGCCTCCTCCTACACAGCTCTCTGGGCATCCCCTCTAGTGTGTTTAGCCAAACAGCTCTCACTAGGTGAGACTTCTGCCTGGATGTTCCTCCTGACTTACGATGTAACCCTCCTCCCAGCAACCACAGGTCCAATCCCCTCCCCATCTCGACCTTCCACACCACACGCAAAGCTTACCCCTTAAAAAAAAAAAATTTTTTTTTTTTTTAATTTGAGAAGAAAAGAAAAACAAAAGTAAAAACAAAAACGTGCGCGCAAGCGAGTCAAGGGCAGAGAGAGGAGGAGAGAGAAAATCCCAAGGAGGCTCCAGTGTCAGCGTCAGCGCCACCGCGGGGCTCGACGCCTCCAACCGAGATCAAGACCTGAACCGAAATCAAGAATCCGACGCTTAAGAGACGGGCAACCCAGGCGTCCGCGAAGCTTACCCTTCTTGCCGCAGTACACGAACTGGCCGGTGTGGATGCCCTCAGCAGCGATGAACAGCTCCGTCCGCTTCTTGAACCGGTACGGATCCCGAAAGACTACCTTGGCGAGGGGTGCACCGCGGCCCGGGTCGTGGATGATGTCCTGCGGGCCGAGGTGGCATGAGTGGCGGGTCCCGGCGGGGCGCCCCGTGTCCCCACCCGCCCGCAAGGGATCCCCGCACCTTCACGATGCCCTTGATGTAGCCGTGTCGCTCAGCGAAGTCCACGGCTCGCAGACGCGCAGCGCCCTTCCGGTGCTTGACGTGCGCGCGGAACACCGAGCCGGCGCCCTTTCTCTGCCCACGGATGACGCGGCCCATGGCGGCTGTCTGGAGGCGGCTTACGGTCAGCGCCCGGGCGGCCCAGGCAGCCCCACCACCCTAGCTTCAGGGTCCCAGGTCCCCAGGATCCTCCCTCCAGGTCCCGACCCTTTCCCACCCCCATCCCTGGCCCTGCACCCCAGCTCTCTCTCAGGAATCCCGCCGGGGTCCCTAGCTGACCCCAGGGCAGCGGATGGCGGTGGATAATGCCAGAGGCGCCACGCCACATACACGTCCTACCTGCTGCCGAGCGCGGCCGGAAGAGGAGACACAGCGGAGGAGAGCCGCCTTATCTTCCGGGGCGGGGCCGAGAGCCCCTTGACCTCCCGACACGGCCGTGAGCCCAGTGCACGCCGGGATTTGTAGTCATCCCGCGGGTGCCCGCGGCCCTTACCCGGCCGCAGGGGCGCCAGGTCACGCAGGTGACCGGATGTCCTGCAGCGGGGTCCCTGTGGACGGGGCCCGGGAGGAGGCGGGAGGGATGTCCGGACTTCACAGAAGTCTCACGGAGGACGAGCGTCGCCCACTGAGCGGCCGAGGAGACTCCCCCCTCCCCCCCGAGAGGTTGGGTGACTTTCCAGGGTTACGCGGACCCGGATAGAGCGGCTTACTCCGGGCGCGGAGTCGCAGGGGTCCTCTCTTGGCCTGGCGAATGCCCCCTTATATAGCTAGAGCTCCTTGCAAGGTTACTGGCTCCCGTCTAGGGCAAGGGCCGCTTTCTAGGGTGAGGCCCTTCCTTGTAGGGTTGTGGGCCCCCTTTTAAAATGGGTGGACGGTTTGGGGGAACGTGGTGGCTTACAGAAGACGGGGGTCTGGACGAAAAATAGCAAATGTTCAACCACCGCGGGTGCGGCCGCTCCGGGCACGTTGCGACTCTGTGCACTGGTAGGTTTTCGGAGAGGTCAGAGTGGCCGTACCCGGATGTGGGTATTGGGGAGAGAGACGGGGGCACCCTGGTCTTTGCTTGGACGACCCGGGCAGGGCACGGTTGGCGACGGTCGAGGAGGCTGCCACGGACAGATTGGGCGACAGTAGAGGTTCGGGAGTCTCAGTTGGGATGGTGGGAACTCCGGGGAGGAGTGTCGCCCTCCTGCTCCCTACACCACTCCCTCCCAGGCACGTGGAGGAGGGAAAGTGAGGCCAGGAAATGGAGAGGGCAGAACTGGTGGCTTGGCAAGGGGGAGAAGAAGAGAGTGAACCATGTCGCCGCTGCGAGAATGAGGAAAGGGAGACTGGACAAATGACCCTGAGGTGAGGGAACACGATGAGCCTGCTCAGAACCCTATAGGGAGGGGTGGGTGAGGTTGGAGTTGAGAAAGGGAACAGCTGGTGGGGGACCCTTGGAGTGTGAGCTGGAGATAAAGATCAAGTCTACCAGGGCAGGGAGCCCCCCAGCTGGGCGTATGCTGCTGAGTGAGGACTTTCCGGAGTTCCGCCCCAGAGGAGTGGGAGGAGCCTTCAGGAAAGGGTGCCAGGGGTTAAGACCTGGGGGTCAGACAGAGTGAGAACTGCCCACAGGCAGGTCCAGGTAGAGCTTCTTGACTAGGGCTGTGGGTGTGCAGGGGAGGCCAGTAGCGGGAGAGGTCGCAAGGTAAGGGGAGTGAGGGCAGGGGTCCCAATGGACAGAGACTTGCACTCAGGACTTTGCAGTAGGGTGTTTGCTAGCAGCAGTGCAGTCAGGTAGGCCTTGGAGGGGCGGTGACAAGAATGACATCGTGAGAAAGTAAGAAGGGAGCCACGTGGCCACATGCTGAAGCGAAGAAGCAGAGGGGACTGGTGAGGCCCCAAGAGAGGCAACAGTCGGGTCAGCGGGGCTGGGGACTCAGGAGGCATCGCAGCCCTGGCAGGGCCAGGGGCTGAGGGTGAGATGGGAAACAAAGGCAGAAGGAAATGGCAGATAAAGTTAAATTTCCCTATAACCCACAGCCCATTGGCAAATACTTGAGGCAGGCAGAGTAAAATGTTTCTCCTTGAACTCCCTACTGTCTTAATGGTAATGCTTTGCTAGAAGGAAAAACAACGTTAGTTTGACAATAGTGGGGCCTCCAATATCCTGTGAGTCTTCTCTAGCATATGAAAATCTCTTTGGGAACTTCCCCTGGACTCTACCTCCCCTGACTCCATGGTATAACCAGTCTCTCATGGTTCCCAGGACAGGTCTTTCTGCCCACGGGTCCTGTCCCCGTGCTTTAATAAAATTACCTTTTTGCACCAAAGACATCTCAAGAATTCTTTCTTGGCTGTTGGCTCCTAACCCCATGAACCCCATTATCACCCCCAAAAAAACTCATCAAGGGGCACCTGGGCCTCCTTGGGGCAGAGTGAGGGGTTTTGAGGTCAGCCCAGGATAGGCTCAGAGGACCAGAAAGGCACAGGGAGTGGCAGGGAGGTGGGGACGGTACTTGGACACTCAGGCTATGTGGTCTCTAAGAAGGTCTCAGATCTCTGGGATGAGATATGGTGGAGGAGGGCCCCCACTTTCTCTTTGCCCTAGAGCTCAATGCAGCCAGAAGGTGGCTAACCAGGCCTACTGCAGGACATGTGTTCAGAGCCTTGCCATAGGCAGATGGTCAGTAATGCCAGCCCAAGAGTTCCAGGGGATGAATGGCAGCTGTGAGCCCCCAGTGAGGGTTCTGGGCCCAGGGAAGCCTCAAGAAGTGCTGTTGGGAGCAGGGGGAGGCTTGCTTGCTTGCTTGGATGCTTCCTCCTGAAGGCCCACCTGGAGATGGCAGGCATGGACTGACTTAAGGGAGGGCAGCCAGTTCTGGGGCTCTCTGAGGTGCAGACACTTGCCTGATATTTATTGTGGCCCTGCCTCAAGCTCAGTGCATCTGTCCTTGCAGAGATGGGGATCCTGGCTGGTGCCCTCCCCCTTCAAAGTCCAGAGACCTCTGACTTGCCTCCATCTCGCTAGCCTGAATGTTAGTCCCCGTGTGAGGGGCCGCCAAGTCCGGCACACAGCAGGGACTCCACAAATCTGGGTCATCTGATGATGGGGACCTCTCCAGGGGCAGCCACACTGGGCATGGGGTTCTCAAGCCTTCAAGAGGGGTCCATCTGCCTTTGCTCATGCTGGTGAGCCAGCCACCTTTCCCATGCCATCCAAGGTTACCTCTTCCCAGCATTTCAAACTTTATTCTTAGTTCTTTATTTCCTTTTAAAGTTGCTTTTTAAATTTTTTTTTTGTCATGTACACACAAGAATAATTTGGTTTAAAATTTTGTTTTTTAACATTTATTCATTTTTGAGAGTGGGAGAGACAGAGCATGAGCTGGGGAGGGGCAGAGAGAGAGGGAGACACAGAATCCAAAGTAGGCTGCAGGCTCTGAGCTGCCAGCACAGAGCCCGACACAGGGCTCGAACTCACAGACCGCGAGACCACGAGGTCACGAGATCATGACCTGAGCTGAAGTCAGAAGCTCAACCGACTGAGCCACCCAGGGCCCCAAGAGTAATTTGGTTTAAACATGCATGACCACGACTCTCTTCTGTCTTTTTGCACTTGGCTCCCCGCCCCCACATCAGCTGCCCTCAGGCAAATAACACCACTATGCTTCTATTCTTTGTGTGGGAACAATAATACTGTCTTTCATACTGTTATTGTGGGAGTTAAGTGAGTGGATATACACCAAGGACAAAAAGTATGCCTACAAAAGTCATCAGGGCTAGAGAAGTCAGAGTGGACACACTTGGACACAACCAGAGAGGTGTTTTGAGAGCGACCTGAAGAGAGCCCTAGGAGGCTTTGAGGTACCCAGACAAAATCAGCTTGTTGACATGGGTGCTAGCTTCACAGGATATTCAGGGTGTGAAAATTCATCTGGCAGTATGCTAAAGGTATTTGTGACTCCTTCCTATGTATTATACTTTTAAAAATACTGTTTTTTTTTGTAAGTGTGCATGAAAACTAGTAAAAATTCTTGGATATCTTTAGACCTCCAAAAGCTGTGGAAGGGGTGGTGTCCAACTCTGTACCTCCAAGCAGAAAAGGGGAGCCCAGCTAATACCTGGGGTAAAATTGGAGTAAAGGATAATTCTTATATATAAATATCCAAAGCAAAACAAAAATGAAGGAAAATATACATGTTGAGACAAACCAAACAAAATTTAAGTGAAAAAAAGAAGAATCAGTTCTTTCATGCATGTTTTTAGTATCTGAATATATGCCCTGAAAGGTTCTAAGTGTATGTAAACAGGCATACCTCACTTATTTTTTGCTGATACTGTGTTTTTTACAAATTAAAGGTCTGTGGCAACCCTGAATTGAGCAAGACTGTTGGTGCCCTTTTTCCAACACCATTTGCTCACTTATGTCTCTGTCACGTTTTGGTAATTCTTGAAATGTTTTAAACTTTTTCATTATTATTTGTTATAGTGATCAGTGATAGGACTTGCCGAAAGCTCAGATGATGGTTAGCATTTTTTAGCAACATAGATATAGATACAGATATACATACATGTATACATATATATACATATACATATAGTTATAAGTTATTTATGTGAGAGGGAGAGCACAAGCTTAAGCAGAGGAGGGGCAGAGAGAGGGGAGAGAAAGAATCCCAAGCAGTCTCTGTGATGTCAACGTGGATCCTGATGTGGGGCTCCGACTCACGAACCATGAGATCAAGAGTCAGACACTCAACCTACTGAGCCACCCAGGCACCCCTAGCAATAAAATATTTTAAAATTAAAGTATGTATGTTGTTTTTTTAGACCTAATGCTATTGCATGCTTAATAGACTACTGCATAAACATAACTTTGTTATGTACTGGGAAACCAAGAAATTCGTTTGGCTTGTTTTATTGTCATTATTCACTTTATTGCCGTGGTCTGGAACCAAACTTGCAATATCTCCAAGGTATGCCAGTATATATATGTAAATTTATTTGTATCCTGCAAAGTATTTTCATTTTCTTTCAATTCCAAGTATGATTTTCTCTTCCTCCCATGAGTTATTTTGCAGGTTGCTATTTAGTTTCTAAGCATATTTGTTTAAACTATTTAGCCATATCTAAATGCAATATCTTATTTTCAGATAATGTAGTTTGTATGATGCCAATTACTTGCAATACAGATGCCTCCCGGGGCCCCTGGGTAGCTCAGGTTACCATCTCACGGCTTGTGAGTGGCTTGTGAGTTTGAGCCCAAGGTCGGGCTCTGTGCTGACAGCTCAGAGCCTGGAGCCTTCTTCGGATTCTGTGTCTCCCTCTCTATCTGATCCTCCCCCACTCGCACTCTGTCTCTTTTTCTCTCTCTCTCATAAATAAATAAACATTAAAAATATTTAAAATATAGATGCCTCGGGGCGCCTGGGTGGCTCAGTCGGTTGGGCGACCGACTTCGGCTCAGGTCATGATCTCGCGGTCCGTGATTTCCAGCCCCGCATCGGGCTCTGTGCTGACAGCTTGGAACCTGGAGCCTGCTTCCGATTCTGTGTCTCCCTCTCTCTCTGACCTTCCCCTATTCATGTTCTGTCTCTCTCTGTCTCTAAAATGAATAAACGTTAAAAAAAAATAAAAATAAATAAAATATGGATGCCTCCTTTGCTGCCTTGTACATTTTGGCTCTTGTGTCCCTCTTCAAAAAGGTGGTCTCTGCTTTTGTCCCCCCTCCCCTTTATAAAAATAAGAAAACATTTAAAGAAAAATATACGAGATTTCATCGCATAAGACTAAATAGTTTTGTTTAAGTTCTTTTAAAATTACTATATGTGTAAGCATTTATTCATAAGCATAGATTTGTGCGTGTGCTGGGTCACACTGTAAAGCATTTTTTACCGTGTCACAAAAGTTTGAAAGACACGATCGTAGAGAAGCTTTTTCAACTGTAGGGGAAGAGGGTGAAGGATACACAGGACCTCTCCGTACTGCCTTTGCAACTTGCATGATTTTATAATTATCTAACAACAAAAAATTGAAAGAGAAAGGACGCTGCCTCAGCACCCGGTTGCCTGGAATGATGCTCGACTTTTCCATTGACCTTTCTCGAGGTCTCGCGTGGACGCGTCTGCTCTCAGGCTTGGGGGCTCTGCGCCGGGATCCCCGACTCCCGCAGCGGGCTCGCCCCTCGGATTTGGGAGTTCACGGGAGATCAGGTCCAGAACAGCGCCCCGCCCTCAGCGGCCCTCTTCCATCACCAGCCTCGCGCCGTAGGAGCCAAAAGGCGCCCACCGAGGCGCGTGGTCCTCCGAGCTTCCTAGAGCGGCGCTGAGACCCGTTTCCGGGGGCGGGCCGGAACCGGACCGCCTGCTCCCGGCGCCCTCTGCGCGCGGTCCGGGATAGCGGCCCAGGGTGAGTAGGTCCTGGCCGCGGGGCGGGGACCGGAGTGGGGTGAGTGCGGTTCTCTGAACCCGGCCTGGCTGAGGCTGTGGTCCGCACAGAGGCCGCGCTGAGCACCGCGGGGCGCTGACCTGCAGCCGGCGCCGCCCTCTCGCTTTTCCTTCGTTCTGGGCCTTAGGGAGGGTCCGGAGTCCGGTTCCCACCGGCTGGCGCGGCAAGTGTGCGGGCCGGTCCCGCAGAGCCTGGGTGGCTGCGCAGAGCTGAGGCTGCAGTGGTGGGAGACCTAGGAGGACCGGTTCTGTCCGGGTTGCGTCCCCCTCGGTCTCGCGCCTGCAGTTGCCTGAGCACACCCGCTCGTGAGCAGCTCGTGCCGGCTGGCCACCCCATGCGCTGCCTCTCCCCTGCACCCTCGTTTTCCAACCAATTGTCAGCCCGACGCCCTTGCTTTACCCTGTGCGGTTCTTCGCCCCCGCCCCCTCTTCGCGGAGTTGCCTCATTCATTGGACAACTAGCATTCGGACAACTGGCATACTTACCTTGTCCTGACGACCCTTCTAGTGCTGGGGATACTGCAGTGAAGGGGTAACATCCCTGACTTCATGAAACATCTGTTGTAATAGAAGTGAGGCATTAATGCAATAGAGGCAACAAACAAGAAAGTAGTTGGTTTTTTTTTTTGTTTTTTTTTTTTTGAGAGAGAGTGTAATCGAGCGAGGGAGGGGCAGAGAAAGAGCATCTTAATTAAGCCAGCTCCATGCCCAGTTGTGTTCAATCCCACCACCGTGAGATCTTGACCTGAGCTTAAATCAAGAGACGGATGCTTAACCGAGCCACCCAGGTGCTCTGAGAAAATAGTTTTTGATGATTTCAAGGGCTATGAAGAAAATGAACCAAGAGGATAGGTTTGTGAGAGTTAAGGAGTTAGGGGTGGCTGTAGGTGAGCAGGGAAGGTCTCTGCAAGAAGTTAACATTTGAACTGAAACCTGGTGGCTGACAGGCCTTGCTAAGCCCTTGTAGGCAAAGGAAAGTGCATCAGAATGGCATTGGCTAATTTGAGTAACAGAACGCCAGCTTGGCTGCAGTGTAGTACGCAAGGGGGTAGGTGAGGGAGTGGAGCAAGGTGCCCCAGTCCCCTGAGGAACAGAGGTTTTATTCAAAATTGGAGGGAAAGAATGACTCCTGCTGGTCCTCCAGGCCCCAATTAAATGTAATCCCCTCAAGAAGCCCTCCCTGAACCCCCATCTAAGTTAGCGCTCCCCTTCCCCTTGATATTTTCTGTCTCAGGACTCCGAGCAGGAACCTGTTTTGTTATCGTTGTATCCTCTCCTCCACTTTTTTCAACTTAGCGCTGTTTTTCTCACATTAAAGACTTATTCCCTGGCTCCAAAGATAGGACTAAAATCAGGTCTTTTCCCCTCTAACCAGGTGGCCCCTCCCTGAGGACATGCATTCCCCAGAAATAAGCAAAGAGACAGGCATGGTAACTTACCCTCCTAACTGTGGAGAGCGGTATGTGTTGAGTTGACAGCCAGGTCTTCTCCTGAGAGGCTCCTCCTCTTAAGATGCTGTGGCTGTCTTGTCGGGTTGAGGAGGACAATAGCTCTGTCAACAGGGGCAGCAGCAATGGTCCACGCAGACTGCCCTGGACAGACAGCCCAGTGCTGTGTCTAGTAGTGGTGTGGCTCTGCTCTTTGCATTTGCCGTTTGTGCTGTCCGGGCACAGATGACTCACCAAGCCTCTCAGATCATCCTCTGTAGCCTGTTATACTCTCACATGTTAAAAGGGCCTTCCTGCCAGATGTTACCTCGTAGCATCATAACCGCAGGATTTCTGCTGTTGCCAAAAGGGACATCGCTTTACAAAGCGGCAGCTACTTAGGAGGCTCAAGCCCCACAGAAAAGGGTACTCTAGATACCTCCACCCAATACACAGGAGCTCAAGTGTCCACTGAGGAGGGGACACGGAGACCAGAGTCTACTCTGAGCACCTAGCCAGAGCAGATTGTATTTACTGGCTTTTATAAATAATTTTTCCTCAACTGCGACACATATTTGAAAAGAAGCAATAAGTCTTAGAGAAATCAGAAAAATGAGAAGAAGGAAAATAAAAACTACCTTGGAAGAAACTAAGGCTAATGTGCTGGGGTATGTGCTGCCAGATTTATTTTTTTGCTTAGAGTCTGCTTATTTCACGTGGTAATGCAGTAACAATGTTTTCTGGTGTTCCACAACATGGTTTTACTGGTTGCAGAATCACCCACTGTCAGGGAACCACTCATTCATTCCACAAATCCTTGCTGTGTATCAGGCCCTCCCCCAGGCCCTGGGGGTACAGCATGAATAACCAGACTGCAGGCCTCATCTCATGGGGGAAGGTGGATAAGAAGCAAGTAAGTTGACTGCATTATGTCCGATAACAGGTGCTATGGATGAAAATAAAACGGAATGAGGATAGGGAAGGAATTCTGCGGTGGGGATGGCATTTTATTTATTTATTTAAGTTTATTTATTTTGAGAGAGAGCACACATACATGTGAGGGAAGGGTGGGGGGGGGTGGGGGGTGGGAGAGAGAGAACCCCAAGCAGGCTCCAGTCTGTCAGTATGGAGCCTGACTCAGGGCTTGAACTCACAAACTGTGAGCTCGTGACCTGAGTGGAAATCAAGAGTCACACTCTTACCTGAGTGAGCTATCCAGACACCCGGGAATATCATTTGAAGTAGGATGGTCCCAGAAGACATCCCTGGGAAAACCAGGAGTGAGAGGTGGAGGCTTGTGGGTGAGCAGGTCTCAGGTTGTGGCTTCTTGGGATGTGAGGGGTCGTCTGGGCTGACCGGGATGTGCTTGCCTCATGTCTCACGCTTTCCTGTCTCTTCTGTATCTGGGTGGTCCTTCTGGGAGACAGGGACAGGGGTGGATGGGCCTTAGGCCTGGGCTCTTCCTACTCAACATTCACCGTCCCCAGCGCCTGCCTTTCCCCTGAAGGGGACCTTGGAATGGCGGTGCCACTTGCGACGCCCAGACTCCAGGTGAGTGTCCCCTCTGAGCCTTTAGGCTGCCTTCATCCCCATCCTCAGCTTTTCAGCCCTGAGGACCTTCCCAGGGGGCCCCAGGCCCACCCATGTAGCTCCCACTCCTGCAGGTGGGTCACAGGGATGGATTCTGTAAGCCAAGGGTCAGCCTCCTCCCTTCGAAGACTCACAATGGCTCTGTCAACTCCTTCCTGAGGCTTTGGGCAGAAGTAGGCTGCCCACAGTCTCCTGAAGCCCCTGAGCTTCAAGGGTCAGCAAGCAAGGTCAGGGGCCCTGTCCCTCCCCAGCACCTGCCTCCATCTGGTGTGAATGGTCAGACCTTCTTGGTGCACACAGCCTTTGGCTTCTCCACGAAGAGCAGAGAACCAGAGAACAGGACAGGAACTCTCCCCACCAGTGTGGAGGCTCGGCCACCGGCATCTCGAGGGTGCCCCTACCCAGGCCAAGGTTGAGACCCTCACTTCTCCCGTGGCTTTGGCAATAGGGCTGTTCCACTTTTCCTTGGAGAGTGTTGAGGTGTACCCCCTCCCCCCCCCCCCATGCCAGGCCTTAGGAATGCATCAGTGACCATACAGAAGCCTTGACTTCCCAGAGCTGAACAGGCATCCTAAATATCCCTGACATGGTCTCCGCATCTCCTGCCCAGATAGCCCCAGACAGCAGAGTTTGTGGTTGCAGGAGGCCGTTGTGTTTGAGGACGTGGCCGTGTACTTCACGAGAATAGAGTGGAGTTGCCTGGCCCCCGACCAGCGGGCACTGTACAGGGACGTGATGCTGGAGAACTACGGGCACGTGGCCTCACTGGGTGAGGCTTCCCCTTCCATCCTGGGGCTGGGCTGAGACACAACCCTGCTTCTTCCACCGGCCTCCTGGGGGAGTTGGTTCCTTTCCAAATTCAAAGCCTAACATGTTCAGAGGGGAAGTTGGAGGGGTTCCCCCTCATCTCTCCATGGCCACCCAGTTGCCCTGCTCCTGGGAAAGTAGCTGTTCCAACCCACCCCAAGTGTGTGTCCTCTGAGGCCTCCAGCCAGGCAGCCAGACACCCTTCCTCCTGCTCCCTGACACGTGCTGCTCTCCTCCCTGCATGTAGGCTTTCTCGTTGCCAAACCAGCGCTGATCTCCCTCTTGGAACAAGGGGAGGAGCCAGGGGCTTTGATTCTGCAGGTGGCTGAGGAGCAAGGGACTGTGGCCAACCTGTGCCCAGGTAAGTGCAAGGCACAGCAAGGCCTGGCCTTCACACAGCTCCTTGTAGCCCCCTGGTGCTTGGAAGGCTGTACATTTAGTTCCTCACAGCATGGCCAAATTTCTCACTAAACACCTTGCTTGTCATCCAAGGTCACCCAGGGCTAACTTGTACAAGAAACCCAAGTGCATGAACATCCTTCCTGGTGCCCCGAGGTGTCGGGCCAGATCTGTGGGGGCAGTGGGTGTGTGAGGAAGACCCAGCAGGGAAGACCCTTGAGCTGCTTTGATCCTTCCAGCTCCCCGTGGCTCACATGCCAAGGCCTGAGTTTGGGACTGCAGAGGCTGCAGAAAGGGAGGAAAGGTGGCCTGCAGTCCATGGGGCCTGTATGGGCGGGACTCTGACCTGTCTACTGAGTGGATGACCTGTGAGTGAGTGCTGGGAGGAAGAGGTGAGCAAAGGATAGCAGTATCCCACACCCTGCAGGTCCCACTCCTGCATCAGGTCTGCTCCCTACCCCCCAACCTCTGCCCCCGTTCTTTGGGCCAAGCTGTGCCCTCCCCTGTCCTCCTGATGCCCCTCCCTGGTCATGAGTTCCCCCCTTGAGCTAACCTCCCACAGTGCTTAAGCCCTTAATGAATCTTCCTTTGGATCCTCTTATACAAACCCTGATTTTACAGTTTCTTTCTTGCAAGAAGTTTCCAAGCCTCTCTACCACTTTGACATGAGGATTCTGTCTTCAAATCAGAGTTCCTTTGGTGAACGTAGAGGCGAGGTCACCTTTCCATTTTCTGTTCATTCTTCCAGATTCTAGGTTGGAGGCCGGGGTCAAGGAGTCTTCTCCAGGGAGAGTGTCCTCTAAGCAGTTAGGACTGTTGGGCACAGTTTGGGGGCGCCTCCCTGAGGAGAGGAATGGGCGTCCTAAAGATGGGTCAGATAAAGGACAACTCGACCCCCAGGCAGGCGGCCTTGGTGGGGAACTTAGCACGTCCCTGGGGACCCTGGAGGCAAAACAGCCAGGCTTGGGCCCTGCAGAGGCTGCTGGGGACAGAGTGTACAGGTGTGCTTGCGGCAAGGCGTTCAAGTACAACTCGCTGCTGCTCAGGCACCAGGTCATCCACACGGGGGCCAAGCCCTACCAGTGCACCGAGTGTGGCAAGGCCTTCAAGCAGAGCTCCATCCTCCTGAGACACCAGCTCATCCACACTGAGGAGAAGCCCTACCAGTGCAGCGAGTGCGGGAAGGCCTTCCGGCAGAGCACTCAGCTGACCGCACACCACAGGGTCCACACGCGGGAGAAGCCCTACGAGTGCGGGGAGTGCGGGAAGGCCTTTGGCCGCAGCTCCCGGCTCCGGCAGCACCAGAAGTTCCACACGGGAGAAAAGCCGTACGAGTGCGGCGAGTGCGGGAAGGCCTTCTGCCGCAGGTTCACCCTCAACGAGCACGGCCGCATCCACAGCGGGGAGCGGCCGTACACGTGCCTGCAGTGCGGGCAGCGCTTCATCCGCGGGTCGTCGCTCCTCAAACACCACCGGCTGCACGCCGGGGACGGCCCCCGAGAAGACAGCGGCCGCCAGGACCCCCAGCCCGGCGCCGCACGGAAGACCGCCTCGGGCGCCAGGCCGTTCGAGTGCCCCGTGTGCCAGAAGCCCTTCAAACACAACTCCTTGCTCCTCCTGCACCAGAGGCTGCACACGGGCGAGAAGCCATTCGAGTGCAGGGAATGCGGCAAAGCCTTCAGCCGGAAGTCCAACCTCACTCTGCACCAGAAGACCCACACCAAGCAGAAGCCCTTTGCCTGCACGGAGTGTGGCAAGGCTTTCCGCAGGAGCTACACGCTGAATGAGCACTACCGGCTCCACAGTGCCGAGAGGCCCTACCGGTGCCGGGCCTGTGGCGGGGCCTGCGGCCGCCCGTCAGCCCTCATCCAACACCAGAAAGTCCACGGGCCCGCGTGTTCTCGGGAGGGTGGGGAGGACGGACGGGTGCCCCACTGGGCTCCCCGTTGAGTTGATGAAAGGCGGAGAACTCATCCAGGAGGGGGCCCCAAGGCAGAAGGCTGGCGGTCCTCCCCGCTTGCCTGTGAGAAGGGTCAGGGCCAGGACTGTGGTCGAGCAGCCCGAGGGAAGGGCAGTGAGGAAGGCTGAGCCGGAGCCGGTCCCCCCACAACTGCTGAGCCCAGATGCCCGCGGGAGGGCGGCATTTCTAAACCGTCCAAGTCTGCGCCTGGAGGCACACGCGGGCTCCAACACAAGTGGGGGTTGGGGGTGGGTTTCGTTTTCTCTTTCCACTCCTCGGTTTTCCAAATATGGACTTGTGATGGGGGGAGGGGAGCGGAATCTGTTGGCTTTTTTTTTTTTTTTTTTTTTGATGTTCATTTGTTACTAGAATTGACCAAGATCGGACTGTTGGCGGGGGACCCAGCCACCTAGTGGGGCAGAGGACTAGAATCCACACAACACCTGCCATGGAGATGTTGGGAACTCTCAGGTAGACCCAGGGTTTGTTGACAAGCCACGGCAAAGCTGGAGGGGTAGTGGTGGCTGAAGCAGGACTCGGGAGTGGGGTCTGCAGGCTCCCAGGCAGTGCCTTGGGAGCCCCAGCCAGGCTAAGTGTGATCCCTCAGCAGGCCTGTCAGCAGAAGGTATTCACTGGGGAGAAGCTTCCCTGGGTGGCCGCTGGTGAGAGGGGCCATCTCTTAGTGACCCTTCTTCTTCATCAGCCCCCCGGCCCCAGGAGCCCTGAGAACACGGAGGGGCTTCTACAGCATCTTACAAAAGGTGTGCCAGAAAGGAAGCCGCCAGCCCCAAGCAGAGCTACCAGTGAATGTGTATTTTTTAATCATTTTTCCCCAAATATAAATTTATTTTAGGACATTTGGGAAATGCAAGAACTTAGAAATGTAAAAAACTGCCCTTTGGTCTCACTCTTCAGAGATCACTACAGCGATGTTTGGTGTGTTTTCTTAGCCTCTTTTTAAAAATTTTAATGCTCATTTATTTATTTAGAGACAGAGAGAACATGAGTTGGGGAGGCACAGAGAGAGGAGAGAGAGAATCCCAAGCAGTTTCTGCGCTCTCAGCAGAGCTCGATCTCATGAATCACAAGACATGACCAAAACCGAGATCAAGAGTTGGACAGTTAACTGACTGAGCCACCCAGGCACCCCCTTAGCCTCTTAAAAAAATTTTTTTTTTAATGTTTATTTATTGTCGGGAGACACAGAATCTAACCCAGGCTGCAGGCTCTTGCTGTCAGCACAGAACCCCGACGTGGGGCTCGAACCCACGAGACTATGACCTGAACCAAAGTCAGATGCTTAACCAAGTGAGTCACGCAGGTGCCTCCCCACCCCCTGACTCTTTCTAATGCACATGTATGGTATTTGTTTTACAAATCGGGGTTTACTTTGCTTGGAACCGTGTCCCTGCTGACTGGTTTAGGTAGCAGCTTCCTTACTGTCACACATCTGTCCTTTCCTCACACCTTCACTGTATTTGTTGGCCCCGTAGCAGACCCGTGCACATTTGCTTGTGGCTGAGGTGGACTTTCCCCATCAGGGTTACAGATGTGGAGGGACTGTTTTTAACCATTTGATTAATCATGAAAAATGCCAGTCTTGTTTTCATTTATATTTCTTGGCCTTTTCGTGAGTAAATTCCCTGTAAGCTCTTGTACCTATTTTTATTAGGTTTTTAAGCCTCTGTGTCGAGCTCCAATCCCTTCCCCTTAATACCTGTGTCTTCAACTGTGATACGAACCACAGGTCTTTTGGTGGTGGGTGAGCATGGAACAGATGGGACGGGAACTGCATCACACACTTGAGGAAGGGATACGTTACAAATATTTTTTCCCAGTTCCTTATTTGCTTTTAGTTATGAGGTTTTTAATAAGAAAAATACATGTTCCCTATGGGCAAAACTGTCTTGTTATGATTAGAAAGGCCTTGTCCACCCCAGGGTTTTATAAAACACTTTCTTTACTTTGGTTAAGTTACAGAAATACTACATATTTGCAGTAAAACAATAACGAAATCTCAATACAAAAATAGGAAATATTTCCCTCTTCCCTTGTCCCACATTCCCACCTTACTCCCCAGACATACACCTGTTAAGTCTGGGTAGTTCATTCCAGACTTTCTTCTCTACATTTCAAATATTCAGCCTATGTGTGCCTGTGTTTTTACAAACAGGATTACTCTAGTGTTTGAAATGACTTTTAGTGTGTCAAGTCACCGGGCTAAACTGCCCCCAGAATTCCCTTTCAGCTGAATTCCTGAGTGGCAGGCTATGCAGGAGGAAGGAAATGGTGGTCATTTGTAGCTCACACACCTGCCTAATACTTAGACACTAACCCAAAGGCTGTTGTGAAGTGATTTTGCAGATGTGATTAAAGCACCTAATCAACTGATTTTAAGTATCCTGGTAGGTCTGGAGTCATCAGTTAAAAAGCCTTTAAAAGCTTAGGTTGGGGCGCCTGGGTGGCTCAGCTAGTTGAGCGTCCAACTCTTGATTTCAACTCAGGTCATGATCTTGGTTTGTGGGATTGAGCCCTGAGTCAGGCTCCAAGCTGCCCTTGCCCATCTCTCTCTCTCTCTCTCTCATTCCTCTCAAAATAAATAAATTAGCTAACTAAATAAGCAAGCAAGCAAGCTTAGGTTTCCCTATGCCTCCAGCCTGTGGAAAAGCATCAGCTGGTGATCTTGTCAGCAAATCCTCGAAGTTTTTGCAAAATGTGGTTTTCTCACTAAGTAAACTAAGAATATACTTGGAGAGGTGCCCTTTTTCAAAGCACAAAGCCAGTTTTCAGCCCTGACTTTTTTCCAAAATTAAAAAAAAACTGTGGTAAAATATACACAGTGTTTGCCATCTTAACCATTTTTAAGTGTACAGTTTGGTGGTATTAAGCGTATTCATACGGTGGACCCGTCACAACCATCCATCTTGAGAACCCTTTTCATTTTGTAAAAGTGAAACCATCCCCATTAAACAATTCCCCGTTCCCTTCTCCCAGATCCTGGTAACTACCATTCTACTTTATGTCCCTATGATTTCTGACTACTCTAGGAACCTCATCTTAGTGGAGTAAAATAGTATTTGTCCTTTTTTGACTGCTGATTTCACAGAGTATAATGTCCTCTGAATTTATCAATGTTGTAGCTGTGATACAATGTCTTTCCTTTTAAAAGGTTGAGTAATATTTACTATTGTATGGTTGGACATTTTCCTTATCCACTCATCTGTCATGGAGACTTGCATTGCTTCCACCTTTTGGCGACTGTAACTAATATTGCTGTGAAGATGGGTGTACAAACATCTCTTCCAGACCCTGCTTTCAATTCCTTTGTGTATTCACCCAGAAGTGGAATTGCTAGGTCATAAAGTAATTGTGTTTAATTTTTTTACTGTTTTCTACAGTGGCTGCATCATTCTACACCCCGACCAGCAGTGCACGAGGGTTCCCTTTCTCCAAATGCTCGTCAACACTTGTTGTTTTTTGTTTTGATAGTAGCAATCCCAATGGGTGTGAGCCCTGACTTTTTTTAAAAAGTAGTATTCAAATGGACACTAACAGGAAGCAGCTCTCCTCTGAAAAAGAATTCAAAAGTAAAGAATTCAAAAGTATCAGTGACATCTGGTAGAGTGAATTTTGTAAAAGGCGTATCTCTGAGTACCACTTCAGCCGTATTTCAGTTCCATTCTAATTAAACTTGAACTCCCGTTCTGAGTGCAGGAAATCCACATAATTTTTGGAAATCCTATTTTTCAGTTTTTATGTTCCTTTAAAGAAAAATAAGTTTGCTGACTCAGGTTACTCAGTCTTTCAAACAGGTTTCTATTGAGCATGTGATCCTTGTTGAGCACAGAAGAGATGCATGATGGAAACATCACAGGCTCTGCCTTTGAGGGACCTGGGCCTGAGTAGGAGAAAAGGAGTCACACAGGAGAGGGAGGAGATGGGGCCTCAGGAAGAGCCTGGTGCCAATAGACAGCCCAGGAGGGGTGGGGACAAGGTCTCTCTGTGCTGGACACAGGCCCTTGTCACCAACCTCCTCAGGCCCTCTTGGCCCTACTTCCAACTCCCTTTTTGTTCTCAGGATTCCCAGCTCCTGACCTTCTCAGGCCGGGGGATTAGGGAAATTCTGCTTCTGTGCAAGGCCCTTGGGTCTGTTGGTTCCTCCCACCAGCTTTGGAGCCAAGCAGGCCTAGATCCAAAAGACATTCCTAGAAATAGCAAACAACCCTTTAGAGCAAGGCTTTGATACAAGCCAACAAATCCAGAGCCCACACTCCCAACTATCTCCTTTATCAAACTCACACACCAAGGCAAAGCTCCTCCTGCCCTAATTCATCCCAGAGCCACTTATCAATTGGAAATCACATTTCTACCTTGGAGCTTGCTGAAATTATTCAAACTATCTGACCTTAATTTTACTTAGTGTACCTGCCCTGCATTGCCCATTCCTTCCTGCAGAAACCCCAATAAAGGCTCTGGGCCACACTGTACCCACCCTCTCTCCTGCCTCCTGACCTATGCTGGTGCTTCCCAGTGTGGCCCTTCATGTTGTACCCTGCCTTCTAGAGAAACTGAGCATAATTATCTTCCTTCGTGACAATCATTTCCAAGTCTGCATGTCTTACCATACCAGACTAAAACAAGCCCTAGGTATATTGTAGTATATCATGAGACTCCTGAGTGCCCAAGGATGGCCTGTGGAGAAGCTCTGTTCCAGTTTGTTGAAAGTATTATTGCTCTGGGCTACCTACTAGGATACAGAAAAAGTCCTTAGAAACACATCTTCTTGTAAGTGATTAAGGTAACGACTTTTTCCCTAGTTACATTTATGATGTGGAATCCTATTCCCAGCCTGGAAATAGCTGGAAAGCAATCTGGGCTGGCTCAGAGAAGGGACACACTGACCATTAATAGTGTTTAGGCCTCTGGCTATGAACAGTTGGTTTGTTTGCTCATTGGGCCCAAGGTTCAGTGAGGATTGTGGGACTGGGGCATGGAGGTCCTGGAATGGCCTGCAATGGATAGAAGAAATCCCCATCACTGCTGCCCCGCCCCCACCCCAGCAGCACCTGCAGGGCCTTAGCACCCTGGTATCTGCACCCCCAACACCGCCCAGGTGTGGGGTGGGTGGGTGCTCTGGACCAGGCTCTCGTGCTGGCTGAAACAGCTCTATCCTAAGGGTCTTTGCCTCCCCTTCTTGCTCTTTGAGTCATCTTGGGAATGACCCTACCCATCTACCTAGAACAGGCTAGCCTGGGGCCAGGACTCCCCCAGCTTTCGATGCTGCTGTGTGAAGACTCCAGTTGGAAGGCTCCCAGTAGGTGGGACCAGAAGTGTGCTCAGCGCACCCGGGTTTCTTTCTGGAAGCGCCTTGGTTGGGAATTAGGACCTGGAGGGCGGCTGGGAAGCAGGTATGTTCCCTGTCCTTCCCAGTTCTCTATTCACTCGTTTATTCATCATTTGCACAGATGCTCCCTGTGCGTAACCAGAGAGAATGTGGGACTGGTAGAGTTGAGTTAGGAGCGGCGGTGTTGCAGGCTGTGAGCGCTAGGACCGAGAGGCTCGGGAAAGGAGCTGATCTCGCCGGAGAACCCCGCAAGGCCCGCTTTTCCCTAGTACCTCCCCTCGGAGTCGGGGCGGGGGCTGATTCAGTCCATCTCCTCCCGTAGGGTTTGCGCCAGATTTCACCGCGGCTGTCAGGGACCCCGATATTTGGGTCGTCGACGAGTCGAGTGCTAGGTCTCTTCTACCGAAAAAGTTCTGCGCATTCTCTGCCCCGCCCTTCCCGCCTCCGGGGCGCATTCTTCCGCTTTAGGTGCCCTGCGCCTCCCGCCCAGCTTCAGCGGTGTCCGCGGCCTGGACCACGTGCCCCAACCACCCAGACAATACCTGCTGTCTCCACTCGGCTCCTCTGCCCTCCTCCCAAGCTAGCCGCTCCCCCGTGCCCACTTCGCCCGTGGTCGGGGCGTCTCCGTTGCCCGGTGCCTGGACCGTGCCCAGCGGGAGCTGCCTTCTGTAGAAAAGCCCGGGCACAGATCTGATGCGGGGTCCAGCGTCCCCGAGGTGATAAGAGGTAGGCGGGGCCGGGCCCGGGCCACCTCAGGCTCTTCACCCGCTTCGCCAGGACCCCCTCCGCCCTTTGGCCTGCACGTCCGCCACCTTCCGCGGGCCCACCCCTCCCTTGACCCCAGCCCCGCCCCTCCCTTGACCCCAGCCCCGCCCCTTCCCCAGCGCCGGGGCGGGGCGGCTGGGAACCATCGAGACGGCCGAGCCTCCGAGCCGCCCAGAACGCCCGGAAGTCTGTGAGAAGAAGAGGGAGCGTGAGCCCGAGGCCCGTTTCCGGTTTTGTCCCGCGTTTCGAGGCTCGGGCGGCCCACGGGGAGGGTGAGTGGGCGCGTCCGGCGCGGACTCGGGTTGGGGCACGTTACGTGCTCATCGCCCTCGGACGGAGCGGCAACCGGCCGACCCCCGCGTCCTCCCGCCTCCGGCACTGCGGGCCCGGCGATCCCCTGCCTCCCCGCTGGGAAGCGCGGATGTCGCGAGCGGCTTGGGGAGGCCATGGGCGCCTGGCGTGGGAGGTGGTCGAACTGCGGCCGCCTTGGCCCGCGGAGGCAGGAGGCATTTGGGCGAGTCCTGCAGGCCCGGCGCGGGATCCACCCGCGGCCTCCCACCAGGTGTAGGCCTGCTCGAGAGGGGATCCCTGATTCTCCTTTCTGCATAACTACAGCTTCTCAAGTCGCCTTTCCCCCTCATTTACTGCCCGTGGGACAGTGGTAAAAAAAAAGGGCTGTGCCTAGGGTAGGGTGGGGTGTTTCCCTTCTCAGGGCCTGTTCGTTTCTACTGGGAACCTGGGATCCAGCGCTTCCAGATTCACTCTTGGCCCGTCGCAGGTGGGGGCCCACCCGACAGTGCTCACTACTGCCTGGGTCAGCTTCACTATGCCCACGGCCTGGAGCTTCCGCCCACTTGCCACTTTCTGAGCCAGACGCTCCCATAGGAAGCCCACTTCTCATTCAGACTGCCTAGGGGAATGCCTGGGATTGGAGCCAAGTTTATGTAGATTGCTGGGGCGGGGGTGGGGGTGGGGGTGGGGGGAGGGCGGGGATTCTGAATCCGTTCCTTTTCCCAGGTAATCCACTGTTCTGGCGTCATCCTCCAGTCACACCACCACTTCCCCTTGCTGCTTGTGAACAGCTCCATGGACTCATTCTGCCCATTCTATTTTGCTTGAGTTCCTTTGCACATGCCTTCCCTGCTGCCTTTAGCGCCCTCCCTACCTCCATCCTCTTGGCCTAGTTAGCTCCCCTGGGAAGTGACTCATCATTAAACCAGAGTTTCCTAGTTTAAATGCTTTCAGAGTTTTCTTGCACTGGGGCATGGTCATGGTTGTGATGTTGTGTTTGTATCGTTAACCCTTTAGACTGTGCTTCATGATGGGAAAGTTCTCAAGCGTTGTGCGCTGCTACCTCCCCATTGCTTAGTCTAGCACTTACCACGTGTGGCAACCACCCCTTCTGTGTCTGGAGTGATTCCCACACACCACACACTCTGAAAGATGAAGCTTTGGTGGGGAGTGGGGGAAGATACTTATGTTGGTTCCACCCTATGTCCTTGCTAATGAACATCTGGGGTTAAAGGTAAAGGATTGGAGAACACAGTACCCTCTCAGTTAGCCAGGAAGTCAGGGCTAGGGGGTCCTCCAGTACCCTGACCTCTGATCCCTTCATAACTGCCAACAGGTCTCATCCAGGACACATGGATGCCCACCCACCGAGCCTCATGGTAGGAGTGTGACTGCCTCTGTTCCCTCACTTGCTCTGTGAGGGCCCCTACCTTTTCTTCTGAGAACCCACCCTGCCCACTGGGCCTTGGCCTAGACCCTCCATTGGCCCCTTGTGGCCATTCCCAAGCTCAGGCAAGCCCATCCTCTGCCCAGACTGGGGCCCATCTGAGGCTCTTGTGGGGGGAGGTTTGTAGGTCTGGCTCCTTCCCCCTCCTTCATACTGCCACTCCCCTTGATTTTAGAGCCAAAGGGGCTTGGTGACTGTCTTGCCCAGCCCTGTGGTACATGTGGCTGAGACACACCATGAGGTGGAGCCAGGATGGGGCTGGCACCCAGGTTTCCCTGGGGTGCTGGTGTATGTTTTTTCAGGAGGCTGTGACGTTCGGTGATGTGGCCGTGCACTTCTCGAGGGAGGAGTGGCAGTGTCTGGACCCTGGCCAGAGGGCCCTCTACAAGGAAGTAATGCTGGAGAACCACAGCAGTGTGGCTGGACTAGGTGAGGCTACATCTTGGGACCCCTCCCCCTGCATCATTGGTCAGCACCCACCTAGCCAGGCCCTTGTCAGGGCTGTGGTTATGGGGGCCGTGGGTCTTTGTGGGTCAAGAGCTGACCCTGGGAGGTGTTGTGGTGAGTTCTGTGCGTTGTAAATAACTTTTCCCGTTCTCTTGTGTTTGTTAACTTTTTAAAAAAAAAATTTTTAATGCTTATTTTTGAGAAAGCGAGAGAATGCAAGCAGGGGAGGGGCAAAGAGAGAGGGAGACAGAATCTGAAGCAGGCTCCAGGCTCTGAGCTGTCAGAACAGAGCCCCACATGGGGCTGAAACTCACGAACCATGAGATCATGACCTGAGCCAAAGTCAGGTACTTAACTGAATCGGGTGTCCCTGTGTTTGTTAACTTTGTGAGGTCAGATTTTAATGACTCAAATCCATTAGTTTTTGCCTTATGGGTTGTATCTTTGAAATTTTATTTAAAAGTTCTTTCCTCTCCAAGGTCATAGAGACAATTTGTATGTTCGCCTGTGAACTTTATCTTTCTTATTTAGATCTTGGCACCACGTTTGTGTCTGGAGTTAGGTAGGAGTCTTGCTTTATTTTTGTTTATACACCGAGCCATTTCCTGGTATCACCGCCTAAGCAGCCCATTGTCTTCCGTTGATTTGTGGAGCCACCTTTTTTCATGTGTGTAACTGTGTTTCTGAGCTGGCCTCGTAGTGTGTCTTAAAACCTGGTAAGACAACTTTCCCTTTTTATTCTTTCATAAAACTTCGCTTATCTACTCGTGGGTAATAAGGTAATTCTTTCATATAAGTTTATAGTACGTGAGTTATTCAATACTTGGAACTGGAATTTTTATTGGGAGTGCTTTGAATTTCTAGAATTAACAAGAGAAGAACTGATCTTTTCCTCATTAACTGTTCCCACCCAAGACCATGAATGTGTCTCCATTTATTCTCTGTAATTTATTAGAATTCTAGAAATTTAGGGGCGCCTGGGTGGCTCGGTCAGTTAAACGTCCGACTTCGGCTCAGGTCATGATCTCACGGTCCGTGAGTTCGAGCCCCGCGTTGCGCTCTGTGCTGACAGCTCAGAGCCTGGAGCCCATTTCAGATTCTGTGTCTCCCTCTCTCTCTGCCCCTCCCCTGTTCATGCTCTGTCTCTCTGTCTCAAAAATAAATAAACGTTAAAAAAAAAAAAAAAGAATTCTAGAAATTTATTAGATTTTCTCCAGAGTGGTCTGGTCCCTTCTAGATGCTTTATTTTTGGTTGCTTTGTGAATGTATCTTTTTTTTATGTTGCTATATTTTTAACCGAGTATAGCTGCTCTACCGAAATGCTTGCATTTGGTAACTTTGTTGAACTTCCTGCTGCTCTGGTGCTGTATTCTAGGAGGAGTCACCTGCAGCTGAACCAGTGGTGGTTTCCCCCTTGGTGCCCCCAGTGTCCTGGCCTTTAGCTGTGCCCAGAGCCACAGTGGTGTGTCAGACAGGACTTATGTGGATATGCCTGTTTTGTTCCTTATTTAATTTTTTTTATTTGAGAGAAAGCAAACGTGTGCAAGTCGGGAAGAAGGGTAGAGTGAGAGAGAGAGAGAGAGAGAGAGGGAGAGAACTTTAGGCAGGCTCCATACTCAACAAGGAGCCCTACTTGGGGCTCGAGCCCACAGCCCTGGGATCATGACCTGAGCCAAAATCAAGAGTTGGTCTCTCAACCAGATGAACCACCCAGGCGCCCTTTGTTCCTCGTGTTAAAGGGAATACTTCAGGGCACCTGGGGGCTCAGTCGGTTGAACGTGCAACTTCAGCTCAGGTCATGATCTCAACGGTTCGTGGGTTTGAGCCCCATGTCAAACTTTGTGCTTTGGATTCTTGGTCTCTCTCTCTGCCCCTCCCCCGCTTGTGTTCTCTCTCAAAAATAAATAAACATAGAAAAAAATCTAAAAGGAAGATTTCTAGGGGCACCTGGCTTGGTCTGTGGAGCGTGCATCTCCTTCATCTTGGGACTGTGAGTTCCAACCCACCTTGGGTGTGGAGATTACTTAAAAAATAAATTAAAAAATAACTAAATAAAAAGACCCCCCCCCTTTTTTTTAAAAAAAAAAAGGAATACATTTAATTAACATCAGAAGTTGGCTAATCATAATCGTAAACAAATTCTTTTTCTGCATCAATTGAAGTGTTTGTATGATTTTTTTCACCTTATTAGTCTAGTAAATCTTATTAACGTGTTTTGTATTTCTGGAGTAAACTCTACTTAAATTATATTTTACATATAAATTTCAGTACTATTTTGGATTCAGCTAGGCAGTATTATGTTTCAGATTTTTGCTTCCCTGTTCATGAGCAAAATTGACTTTTAATATGTTTCTTTTTATTGTTTTTTGTTGTTTTGTTTTTTTTTAATGTTTATTTTTTGAGAGAGAGAGAGAGACAGAGAGACAGAGCATGAGCGGGTGAGGGAAAGAGAGAGAGAGAGACACACACAGAATCTGAAGCAGGCTTCAAGCTGTCAGCACAGAGCCCAATGTAGGGCTTGAACCCACAGACTGTGAGATCATGATCTGACCTGAGGTTGGATGTTTAACTGACTCAGCCACCCAGGCACCCCTGGGTTTTTTTTTGTTTTTTGTTTGTTTGTTTGTTTTTGTGTTTTAATTTAAAAAAGGTTTAAAAAAATTTTTTTTTGAGGAAGAGAGAAAGAGAGTGTGAGCGGGGGAGAGGCAGAGAGGAAGACACAGAATCCGAAGCAGGCTCCAGGCTCTGAGCTGTCAACACAGAGCCCGACGCAGGGCTTGAACTCATGAACTGTGAGATGATGACCTGAGCTGAAGTCATTTGCTTAACTGAGCCATCCAGGTGCCCCTATATGTTTTCTTTTTGTGAATTGTTTTTCTATATTTTTGGCAAATGGCCCTTGGCATATGAGTTTCATAAGATGAACTGGGCACATTTTGCTGTCTTTAATTTCTGGAAGAATTTATGTAGGTGGAATTACAGTGTTTGGTAAAAGTCACCGGTAAAACTGTCTGGGCCTTGGGCCCTTGGGAAAGGAAGGTCTTGCGCTAGTGTTTTTTGCTTTTAGTTTTGTTTTTGTTTGTTTGTTTCTTTTTTTAATGTTTATTGATTTTTGAGAGACAGGGAAGGGGCAGAGAAAGAGGGAGACACAGAATGTGAAGAAGGCTCCAAGCTCTGAGCTGTCAGCACAGAGCCCGACGCGGGGCTCAAACTCACAAACCGTGAGATCATGACCTGAGCCATAGTCAGATGCCCAACCGACTCAGCCACCCAGGCGCCCCTGGTTTTGTTTTTTAGTGAATAATATCTGTCAAGTTTGCAAGTTTCCTTTTGTGCTGATTTTGTCATTTTTAGTTTTCCTGTAAAGTGATGTGTTCGTTTAGATTTCCAAGTTTTTTAGCATCTGTTTGTTCATAATACTCCTTTATTTTTGGTCTGCATTGTGTGTGTAGTTGTTTTCCTTATTTATTTTATTTTTTTCGCTGTGTTGACCTCAATTTTGCCACAAGAGCTGTCGTATTCATTTTTTCAGAGAACCAGGTTTCGGTTTGGCTGATCTTTCTCTGGAGGTGGGGGATAGTGTTGTTGCCTTTGTTCTCTATTTCATTGAATCCCACCCCACCTTTATTATTTTCTTCCTTTTTATTTATTTGAGTTTGCTGTGCTGTTTTGTTCCCAACTTCTTGGGTTTAACGTTTATCTCATTTGCGTTTTACTATGCTCATTTCTATAATAAATGTATTTAAAAATGTAAGATTTTATTTGCAAATACTGCTTCAGCTTCATCCCATGAGTTTTGTAGTAAATAGAGCTGCTACTTAGTAATTCATTATTTAGTTTTCAAGTAGTTGTTTGTTTTTAGTTTTTTAATGTTTATTTTTGAGAGTGTGTGTGTGGTGTGTGTGTGTGTGTGGGGGGGGGGGGGAGGGGCAGAGAGAGAGAGAGCGAAAGAAACACAGAATCTGAAGCAGGGTCCAGTCTCTGAGCTGTCAGCTCAGAGCCCGATGTGGGGCTCGAACCCATGAACCGCGAGATGATGACCTGAGCCGAAGGGAGATGCTTAACCGACTGAGCCATCCAGGCGCCCCAAGTACCTAATAGCTTTGAGCTCCGTGTTGTCATAACCTTCACATCCAATTATATTTTGGGTTGGGGCACAGTGTTGTATTGTCCTGTGGACATGACTCCCTTCACAGTTGGCCTAGAGTTGTTTTCTTTGTACATTCCACATGTTCTTCGAGAGAGCACGTTTCCTGCTGAGCATGGAGTCCTATGTGCACCTGAGGCCTTTATCCTGCAGGGTCTCTCTGCTTGCCCTTCCCCACCCCCACAGCCGGAAACCTGGGGGAGGGAAACCCTGACCACAGGGCTTAGCGCCCTCCGAATTAAAATCCATTCATTTGTTGGCTTACTTTTGTTGTTTCTGTCTTGCTTCTTGGCCACTCCTATCTCCTGGAATGTTCCTGCCCTCTGAACTGAGGGACAGGCCATCTCTGCTGAGGGAGGTGCTGGCAGTGCCTGGCTGCTTTCTCCTAAAGCTAGACCTGGCCTGTTCCTTGCAGATTCTTTGGTGATAGATCCCCTGAGGATCCTGGCCCTGGTGTGGGTGGGGATGGGCTGGGAGTCCAGCTATCTCTCATTGTCCAACGTGAGGAGCTGGACAGAGAGGGCCACTGGGTCCAGACCCTCTCCCCCTGATGTTCCCTTTGGAAGCTCTGCTTGTGCTCCAACAGCCCCCTGCCTCTTAATTCCTGGAAACCAGGAGCATTGGGCCCTGGGATGTACCCTCAGCCATGCTGACATGGTCCCCTTCTCTGCCATCCCCACAGCAGGATTCCTGGTCTTCAAGCCTGAGCTGATCTCCCGGTTGGAGCAGGGGCAGGAGCCATGGGTACTTGACCTGAAGGGAGTCGAGGGGAGAGAGGTGGCAAGGACCTCCCTTACAGGTGAGGCTTAGGCCTGTGGCAAAGAGGTTTCCAGGTAAAGGAGTGAGGAGATGTTCGGGGAACCCATGCCCAGCAAGGGTTGAGGGTGGGAAGCTGAAGGCAGACCGCAGGGACCAGCCAAGAGGGCATGCCGGGCTGCCTGGGGGCACCACGGGGCCACAGATGGGCCGGTTGACAGAACTATCGCCTGGTCGTGGGGTTGTATTGGGAGAGACTGAACTACAGAAAAGCAGGGACATAAGACTCTTACGTGTTATAGCAAAAACAGAGTTTGCTTTTCAGGCATAGGTTCAATTTCCAATTTTACTGATGTTCTTGTTAAGCAAAGTGCAAAGGAACTTCCAAGGGAAGCACTAAGCTTGGCTCTGAGCAGCCTCTCAGGCAAACATCAGTCATCCTGAGACAGTTGCCTCCCACCTGCCAGCAGCTCCTCCAGAACTGCTTGGGCTCCTGGGTGACCCCAGCCTCTCACATCAGGCTTCAGGGCTGTGTTGGGTCCTAGGGCTGCTGTACCAAAGCACCACAAACTTGAGGCTTAAAACCACAGAGGTTAATTGTCTCACAATTCTGGAAGCCACACGGCCAAAATCGAGGCATCAGCAGGTTCGTGTCCTGAGGTATGAGTGTATGGGCAGGAGTGTTGGGAACGTTGACCCCAGCCCCCAGCCTCCTTGGCCTTGCCTTCCTGCTTAGACCCCTTTTTTTTTTTTTTTTTTTAATTTTTTTTTTTTTCAACATTTATTTATTTTTGGGACAGAGAGAGACAGAGCATGAACGGGGGAGGGGCAGAGAGAGAGGGAGACACAGAATCGGAAACAAGCTCCAGGCTCTGAGCCATCCGCCCAGAGCCTGACGCGGGGCTCGAACTCACGGACCGCGAGATCGTGACCTGGCTGAAGTCGGGCGCTTAACCGACTGCGCCACCCAGGCGCCCCTATCCCTCAGGTGTGGCTGGAATAAACAGATCGTTCTGACAGCCTTGAGTTTTCTCAGGCACACACCTTAAGGAGGGCTAGGGTCATCCTAGGGAGGAAACCTTTAGCTGTAAGTAGTGACATTAGTCTTTTGTCCTTACGGGCCAAGGATGAGGCCTGGTCGAGAAAGGCTCAGAGGAGCCTGGCTGAGCTGGTCAAGAGAGGGTCTTTGTCAGAGAAGGTGTCACTAGTAAGTAGGGTCACGTAAAAATGGGCCGTGCTGGGTACAGGTGTGACGTGGGCCCAAAGAGGAGAGGGACCATGTGGCTAGCTGAGCCTGAGGGGAAGCCTGGTGTGTAAGGAGGCTTCTCATAGACTTGGTTGCAGAAAGCCAGATGGAGGCAGACTCCAGAGAGGAGTTGGGTGGGTTTGTGGCTGCTGAACCACATGGATTATCTTTCTCCTTCCTGTGCAGCGGGAGGTTCTAGGCTCACAACTATGGACGTTTCCACTGTGCTCTTCCTTGGCGTCCATGGGGGCCTTTGTTTTCCAGCAGGAGGGAGAGGAGAGGAGAGCAGTGCGTGTCCACTTTCTCGTCTCCAGAGTGGAGATGAGAACTGGGCAGAGGACTGAGTGAGCCAGCACCATAGGGCCACTCCTGCCCTGTCGAAAGGTTGTGTGATTGTGCCCCAGAGGCCAGGTAGGAGATGCCCTGTGTCATAAGGGCACAGAGAGGTTGAAGGGGCATGTGTTGGGGGAACAGAATTGGGTTCATTCCTGATTCTGTAATTAGCTGTGTGACTGGGGAACCACAAGCTCCTTCTCTGACTCACTACTGACCTCATTGGATTGTCACAAAGACTAATTGAGGGACGGCCAGGAACTAAGTGTTCCTTATGCCCAGGAGATGCTCAGTATGTGATGGCCTCTTCCTCACCCTAGGACTGACTGAGAACTTCAGATCACCGAGCTGGAGAGGGGACTGACATTAAGGGCCACCAGGAACCCTGGAACTGGGCCCCTGGAGGATATTTCTGTGGGGTAGAAATGGACTGGTTATAACAGCGGTTATTGCACTGGTTACGAAGTTGGTTGTGATGTTAGTTATGACCCTGGGTGTGATCACAGACACCAAGGAGGTGTGTGAGTTTAGCAAGGGTACTCTCTGGGACTGCCGAGTAGGAGAGGGGCTGACACTTATTTGGAGAGTCCAGAAGGAAGGCAGATGTCAGGAAGGCCTCGTGGGGGCCAGTCAGGGGTGAGTGGACTGACCAGAACCCCAAGGGAATGAGAAGGCGGTATAGGCCACCGGGTGTGGCCTCCTGGAAGCTGTGGGGCTGACGTACATGGTCAGGTGTGTATCAGAGAAGGTGGCTCAGCAGCAGCTGGAGGAAGCCAAATTCGGGTCTGGGGTCCTGCTCAGTACCACCCCCCTTCAGGCTCGCCCAGGGCGTGCCCCACGGCAGCTGTCCAGCCTCATCTTCCTCAGAACCTGTCCCATTAACTCCCCTCACCACACCTCTGGATCCAGGAGCCTCTGGCACCTCAAGCCCAACCTGCCTCTTGCCACACTTGCCAGGCTCTCCAGCCCAGAACTTCCTTATGGATTTTCACTCATACCGGTTCCCCACGGGACGAGCCTCTGCTGATGTGTTCCCCCCCACCCCCCACAGGAACACACGGTAGTTGAACGCATGAAGTAAAAGTGTCAGTGAAGCTAAATCTTGAGAACTGTCCAAGGCCCGACTTCTGGTAGTGTTTTTCCATGTGGGTGTATCCTTGCCTGATGCAGCCTCCGCCACTGCCCCTGGTCTTTGTCCTTTCTCTGAGCACAGGGGATAAGAACCATTTTATTTCCCGTTTATTTCAGATTCTGCAGTTGGGATGGCAAGTGAGCAGGCCTGTGAGGACGTGGATGCTCTAAAATCGGAACCCCGTGTGGCCATGGTCAGAAGCTCCCCACAAGGTTTTCCTCAGAGTTCTGGCTTTAGAGACACCTCTGATTCTGAGGTCTGGTCAGAGAGTAAGCCAAGCTCCCTCCTCCAGAAAAACCGCTTGAACACTGGCACTGTGGCTCCCAGGAAGACCTTCGCCAAGGAGGGTGCCCAGGGACGTGGTGAGCCGGAGGGCATTGGCGTACTGGGTTGTCACCCTGACAAAAGTAAGGGAGGTGCTGCAGAAGGGACATCCCGAAGATGTGATATGTGTGGCAGGAGTTTCAGATCGACTCCGGACATTGCTCTGCATCAGGAAATTAATACACCGAAGAAACCTAACAGATGTCCAGAGTGTAAAAAAAAATTACCTGATTGCTTGCAGGGGAAACCTCGAAGTAACTGCCATGGAGAGAAGCCGTATGAATGTGAGGAATGTGGGAAAGTCTTCAGGTTGTGCTCGCAGCTTAATCAGCATCAGAGAATCCACACTGGAGAGAAGCCATTCAAATGCATTGAGTGTGGAAAAGCTTTTCGTCTGAGCTCAAAACTTATTCAGCATCAAAGAATTCATACTGGAGAGAAGCCTTACAGGTGTGAGGAGTGTGGAAAGGCCTTTGGTCAGAGCTCCAGCCTCATCCACCACCAGAGGGTCCACACGGGAGAGAGGCCCTATGGCTGTCGGGAGTGTGGGAAGGCCTTCAGCCAACAGTCTCAGCTGGTCAGACACCAGAGGACCCACACTGGAGAGAGGCCCTACCAGTGCCAGGAGTGTGGGAAGGCCTTTAGCCAGAGCTCAACCCTGGCTCAACACCAGCGGATGCATGCCGGGGAGAAGCCTCAACTTCCAAGAAGCCCAGGTAGTCCCAGCCACGTTGCCCATCAGAGAATTCACACTACAGAGAAACCGTTTAAGTGTGATGAGTGTGGGAAGGCCTTCAGGTGGGTGTCTCGCCTTAGTCAGCATCAGCTGACCCACACTGGAGAGAAACCTTATAAATGCAACAAGTGTGCAAAAGCCTTTGGTTGTAGCTCACGGCTTATTCGCCACCAGCGAACTCACACTGGAGAAAAACCATTCAAGTGTGATGAGTGTGGGAAAGGCTTTGTCCAGGGCTCACACCTAATTCAGCACCAGAGAATTCACACTGGAGAGAAACCCTACGAGTGTAGTGACTGTGGAAAAGCCTTCAGCCAGAGTTCAAGTCTCATTTACCATCAGAGAATCCATAAGGGAGAGAAGCCCTACGAGTGTGTCGAATGTGGAAAGGCTTTCAGTATGAGCACACAGCTCACAATACATCAAAGGGTCCACACTGGGGAGAGACCCTATAAGTGTACTGAATGTGGGAAGGCCTTCAGTCAAAACTCAACCCTTTTCCAACACCAGATAATTCATGCAGGAGTGAAGCCGTATGGATGTAGTGAGTGTGGGAAAGCCTTCAGCCGGAGTTCCTATCTTATTGAGCACCAGAGGATCCACACTCGTGCCCAGTGGTATCATGAATATGGGAATACCCTGGAAGCTTCTACCCATGTGAGCCGTAGAAAAGTCAGCACTGTAAAGAAACTGCATAAATGTAACGAATGTGAGAAAATATTCAGGTGGCGCTCACATCTAATCATTCATCAGAGAATTCACACTGGAGAGAAACCTTACAAATGTAACGAATGTGGCAAAGCTTTTAATCGGAGCTCACGGCTTACTCAGCATCAGAAAATTCACATGGGATAGACCACCTGTCTTTATAAATGTGTATAAATGTGAATAAACCTGCAGCCTTAACCTTAACGTATTTTATATGGGATCATTTATACTGACAAGAATTTAGAATGTGGGGATAGATTCAGAATTGCTCCCTTAAGAAAGAAAACGTCCAAATTCGTACAAAGTGGATATATCTTTGCCGCAACGTGTGACCTCATCCCGCGCAGCAAAGCCTGTGTCCCTCAAGCCAGGGCGCACACGTGTAGAGTTTGGAGTTCACAGAAGAAAGACGCCACATCCCGCGGATGGGGAAGTGTCATGGGAAAAGGCCCATGAGCCCTGCCAGACAAGTAGCTGAGAAGTTGCCCAAAGCGTCTTCCCTTAGCAGTTCCTTAGTCAGTTCCTCAGACTGGCTTCGGCAGTAAGGATGTGTTAGCTTGTGCTAGTGGAAGCCCAGAGGAAGCTGCCTTTTTCACCTGACTCCTTTTCCTCCAACTCCATCCCCATCAGAGCAACCCGGGGCTACAGCCAGAGGGCCCGGCACCAGCCTCTTCAGACAGGAGCTTGGATCAGTGCAGGCACTCCAGGAGTAGCACCTGCACCCAGGGACCTGCTCTGTGACTCTGGATGCCACTGTTCTCCGTGAAATCCAGAGTCTGTCTGCTTATCTGAGCATCGTTACAGGGTGACCATAAGAACTGAATGTGGGAGAGCTCCCTGCTCCCACGCTGAGACCCCGAGCCAGCATCTCTAGCGGAACCCAGGGCAGACCTGGCCTCAGCACTGCAGAGACCGCTCATGTGAGCCCAGCGGAGCTACCCGGGGGCCAGGCTGCTTACCAGACTCCCCGGAACCGCTCCTGCCACACAAACTGCCGGAACCAGGAGGGCCTGCGAGCTGCATGTGAGCCCGTTGCCTTTTCCCGGATGCTGGTGGAGGTGGAGACGGACTGGTGGCCCCGCCCTCAGGGTCCTGGCCCTGCCAACTGTGAAAAAGTTCCAGGGGACCAGAAGTCTTAGACTGGCTACTACCCACGACCGCTCACTCGAGACCTGCCGATCTTTGGTGTCATTGACAGTTATCGGAGGGGTGAAATTTGGGCCAGGGACCCCTCCCCCTTGTCCCAGTGGAGAGGCCCATTTCTCCCACATACAGAAAGGTAACCCAGAGGGACAGAGGTCAGTCACTCCAGGATTTATTGCAACACTTGATTTGGGTCACCATCACCTGGTATGGTTAAGCCTGTGGGTAGGTCCTTGAGACACAGCCTCAATGGCCATGTGTGGTATGGCCCAACAGCGGGTTCTGGATTTGTATTAGGTGAAAATCAGGCTGGCTGATCCCTCTGTTTGCATTGGGAATTCCCCAACTTTCTGGCATCAGGAACAGCAGAGTTCAGGATGGTCAAGTCTGTGTGTTTGTGTTTCTAATACGTGGACAGGGATCTCGGTCCCACAGCAGGTCAGCCCAGTTGCCACCCACTGCTGCTCGGCCAGGCACAACGCGTGATATGTTCTTAGGCCACATAGAACTAGGCTAGTCCTAGGAGTAAAGATTATGTCCCCCTGGCCTGTACCCGCCCCCTTGGAAGTGGTGTTCCCAGCCCACGTGTCAGGACGCCATGAAATCGTTGTGCCCATTTCAGTGGCCGTAACCGCCTCTCCACCTGTACCTACTGCACCCAGAAGTGTGTCCAAAAGGGTCATTGCCAGAGGACCAGGGACTTTTCGTGAGCCCACGTGCCTTAGGAAGGCAGTTTGGTCACTGAATGTGCCATTCCCAGAAAGGAAACCTGTCTCTGCCACTTCTGGGTAATGATGGGACAGGGGGGTGGAAAGTTACATGAACTCTTCCGGATTCCAGCCTGAGCATGGTGCTTTCTGTCTTCTAACAGCAACTGCAGGCCAGCCGAAAAGGGCCAGAGGATTAAATCTAAGTCGTCTTCACCTGGATTCTCTCTTTGGATTGATACGGTTCTAGATCAGGAGCTGACAGATTATAGCGTATGGGCAAAATGCAGTTTGCTGTCTGTTTATGCAGCCTCTGAAAATATGTACGAGGCCATTAGACTGGGCGACTCTCATGCCTTGGGAACTACACAAGCAGATCAAGAGCTAAGCCAGAGTCCGTTCCTGTAAATGCACTCCTATCTGAGAAAATGAAATTTAAGAACACCTAATCACAGTCAACTAGATTTCCCCAAATAAGGCACCTGCTTAAGCCATAACCGGTCACACAGTTTCCCAGTTTTGCTCCTGCGTCTATAAACACCTCTCCCTTTTCTCCTGCCAGCACAGCACTCCTCATGTTTCAGTGTGGTCCTGCCTGGCTCCAGGCGGTGTTTGTTCAAATATAAACTCTTCAAAAATGTAATGTACCTCAGTTTACCTCTTAAAAGGCCTAAAAGCTAAGAAGGGTTTTTACATTTTTAAATGGGAAAAATGACTATTTTATGACGTTTGAAAAGTATGTTGAAATCACATTTCAGTGTGACCAAATAAAGTTTATTGGAACAGAGCTGGCCCTTTTGTGTGCAGGCTGGCTCTGCCCACTCTTGTATTCAAGGGCCAAGTTCACACTTGCTGGTCTTGCCTTGTTAACTTGGGTAAAATCTTCATGCCCTCCAACCTTTGAGGAATTACTTTTCCTCTCAACTCTTAGTGCGGTTTGTTCATATAAATGTCCCAATACAACCAGGAATTCGATAGAAACCACTCTAGAGTTTACATTCCAGTCTAGAGCCTCCCCTGCACAAGTGTAGGGTGAGGAGTCCTTAGCTGCATCCACGTGAGACATGGGACACTGGCCTGCCCGGCAAGACTTTGTGAAATCAAGCTGCCTCAGCACCTAAAATGCCTGGAGCCCTTGAAGAGCATCTGTGCGTGTCCTGTGAGCTGGTGGCCCTTTGGCAGAGGGGGTGGAGGAGGGCCACCTGTGGGATAGTGCAAGGTTTTGGGCATTCTGTTCTACTTTAAAAGGTATTTTCCAACATGGGCTTCAGTAGATGTAACCGTGAACGTTTTTAAGAATACCCAGAACTCTATTTCAGAGTAGATATTAAAATACCTTGGATTTTTTTTTTTTTTTTGAAGCAATAAGCCCATAATTTTGACTTGAAACTACTTTTTACTCAATCAGGCTAAGCTTTGATTCATGACATTGGATTGGAACCACCAAGCTTCCTGGAAGCTTCACAAAGGTGTGGGGGGTGCAGAGCCCAGGTGAGTTTACACAGTGTGCGTGGCGTGCACTCAGAACCTAGGAAATTTTTGTTGCACGAATGAATGCTGCATTTGGGGAGCTTTGAGGTTGGGATGTTAGACACTGTCAGAAGAGGAAATGCACGAGCATCAAGAGTTTCCACAGAGGGACATGTGGCTGGCTCAGTCAGTGGAGTATGCAGCTCTTGATGTCGGGGTCGTGATTCAAGCCCCATGCATGTTGAGTGTAGAGATTATTTTTGAACACTCTTTTCACAGAGATCTAAATAAGATCAAGAAAATGGAAAAGGGAAATTTTTCCAAGTACAAGTGTCCATTCTCTGTACAAGACCTTGTGCAGGCTGGAGACAAAGGTGGACCTCAAGGTCTGTGAGTGGTAAGGACTGACTACAGATGAGGGTAGACCGTTGCTCTGTAGCCTAGGGGAGTCCTTTGGGCACACAGGATCCACCCACCCCAGCCTGGCTGGGTTGAGGGCGGTATGGCAGAGCCACCTGCCACCTAGTTTTGCATGTCCCCAGAGACTAACAATGGTTTTTAAATGCTTGAAAACAAGATGATTTTGTGACCTATGAAATTAAAATTTCAGTGCCAGTAAGAAAGTAATTGTGCCCGTTCATTTACGTAGCGTCTGGCTGCTTGCAAGCAACATTGGCAGAACCGACAACCCTTGTGACCTGGAAAGCTGAAATATTCCCTTGCAGCCGTCCCCTGCTGCAGCAGCTCTGCGGAGCAGCAGTGAGAAACGGAGGGGAGGCCACCTTGCAGGTGCTGTGGGAGGGGCAGCGTGGTTAGGGCTGCCTTGTCCAGCCCACCATGGATGGAGAACAATGCTCTGACCCCACTGTTACTGACTGAGAGACCAAAAGCACAGACTGTCTCTTCTGGTAAACGGCTGGTGAGTGGGCAGAACATTACACCCCCACGTGTCTGGAGCCCAGCAGGAGCAGATTGCATGTGACCAGGTGCTGTGCCTGCAAGGGGCTGAGGGCCCTCCCAGAGTCTGCTGACTCTCAGAGTGGACACACCAATGCACCAAACTGCCAAGCAATCCCGGTCGGTCCGATGCACAAGGATGGGGTAGGGGGTGGTCCCTGCAACCCACAGGCAGAGCGAGGGCGTGCAGATCTGGGCACTTGCCCACTATCTGACTCCTGTAACTCTGAGCCTCCATCGGCCTGTCTGTGAGTGGAAGTGTCCTCTACCTGCAAGAACTGCTGAGAGGCTTGATGTGGGCTCCAAGTGAGAGCTCTGTCCTCCCTGCGAGGGCCTCTTGGGAAGGCGCTGTGCGTGTTTCTCATAGATGCCGACAGTAGGGTGGCCTGGGAAGTGCTCCTCCTCTCTGCTCAGGTGTATTTTTGAGGACCATGGGGGCCCAGCCACGTGGCCCTTTGGTGGCACTACAGCGTGGAGCTTCCTGCTGGGGCGTAAAAGCCTGGCTCAGATCCTAGGGCTCCATTCCTGGTTGCACCTACCGAATTCCAAGAATCCTGCACAGCAGAAGCCCCTGAATCTCCATGGCTTTCAGCCCTAAACGTGTGTCCTCCTTCTGGGGCCAGTAGCCACTCAAGGCACGTGAGCCAGCAGGGAGAGCCTCTTGAAGCCCCCCCGGCTGAACCTCCTTGCCCCTCCCAGTCACTTGCCCAGTCAGTAGACCAGGGACACTGCCACAGGGAAGCCCCATCCAGGTGGGGAGGGAAGGTGGACAGCACCCCCACCAGCTGTTTGACATCGGGCAACTCTCTAACCTCTATGCGTTATCACCTGTGAAGCGGGGGAACTTCACACTTGTGAGTTAAAGTTGTACCTAGACTGCTCAGCACCTGTTGGTTACACCTGTAATTTCTTTGTGCATCACCAGGGACTGGCCCGTGAAGGTTGAGGAGGCTGTGCTTTGGCAGTAATATCAAGGGCTTTAAAATGTTCTGCCTCATCTGTTCCCACTTCTAAACAGTTTCAGTATAAAATGGTTTTACCACTAATGTCACTGTGATTTTTTTAAAAAAAATTTTCTGAATGTTTATTTTTGTAGGAGAGAGAGAGCGTGAGCAGGGGAGGGGCAGAGAGAGAGGGAGACACAGAATCCGAAGCAGGCTGCAGGCTCCGAGCTGTCAGCACAGGGCCCTGTGCAGGGCTTGAACTCACAGACTGCAAGATCATGACATGACCGGAGCTGAAGTCGAACGCTTAACTGACTGAGCCACCCAGGCACCCCCACTGTGATTTTTAAAAGAAAAAAAGAATACAAAAGCTGCTGTGGTCTGTGTCCTCCCACCCCCACCCCCCTGGCCAAAATCTATATATTGAAACCCTAATGCCCAATGTGATGCTATGAGGGTTTGGGGCATATGGGAGGTGATTGGGATGGGTTCAGAGCCTCATGAATGGGATTAGTGCCCTTACAGAGAGACCCAAGAGAGCTCCCTCACCCCTTTAACCTTGTGAGGACACAGGGAGAAGTCTGCAGCCCTGAAGAAGGCCCTAACCCAGCCATATCGGCCTCCTGATCCCAGCCTCCCAGCCTCCAGAGCTATGGGAAATCAATGTTTCAGCCACCCAGCCTGTGGTGTGTGTGTGTGTGTAGGTAAAACTCAGCACATCCACCGAGGGGAATGGCAGGTTTTGCAGCCATTAGCCACGACTGTCATACTCAGGAGGGGTTAAGTGAACAGAGCTAACACAGACACACAGCCTAAGTATGAAGTCTGATGAACACAGTTTCCATGGCTCTCTGTGGGCAAAGGGACTTTTAATTTTCTTTCTTTTTTTATTTTTTGAGTTTCTCCAAATGTCTCATGAGTACATATTGCCTGAACATGTCTGATGGTCATGAAAGAAACACCTAGCATAGAAAGCCTCCACTGGTTGGGCACACCTGGCACTTAGCACATGCTTCTAGGGTGGGCCAGGTGGCAGTTTGGATGGCCCAGTCCAGCTCGCATCCTTGGGGAAGCAGGGCCCAAAGATGGCAGCGGATGCTGGATGAGACACACAGGGTGCATCCCTGTCTAGCCAGGTCTGGGCCTTGCCTGGGGGGCTCGGCCTCTGAAACCCTAACTCTGAGTGTGTAGCACCACCCCACCTTGTTGTCAGCTTCCCGTGCAGCCGCCTCCTCTCTCTGCCCTCGGCGCACACCTAACTTGCCATGACCCTGTCTCAGGGAGCAGACTCAACGGAGATGGCGGGAGTGTTCCGTAAATGGCAGTGAGCAAACACTGCTGATCTTGACGGAGCCTGACACAGAGCAGGGGGGCAGGAAGGGGGTGCTGGGTAAGGGCAGGGGTTCCAACACAGATGCATCAGGGTGACTGATGGGCACCCCGAGATCATTAGCTGTTTTCAGAGGAAGTTTTTCCATGAGACTTGTGACCTGGTCGCCCAGCAGAAAGCAGACCGTGGAGGCAGGGACACTGCAGGGGGAACACGGCCCTACAGCAAATGTCTATGCAAAGAGCAGGACCCCAAGTTCCCCTACCTGGCAGGGAGAGGTTATGCTGGAAGGTGCAAAGTGGCCATGGGCCCTGAACATTCCCACAGAGTCACCCAGGAAAGATCCTGCTCCCCTCTGCCCTGCACACTCTCACTGCTAACGACTGAATCGTGTCCCCCGGCCGAAGTTCGTGTGGAAGCCTTGACCCCCAGTATGACTGTGGATGGAGATGGTGCCTTTAGGGAGGGGGTTAAGGGTAAATGGAGTCATAAGGGTGGGGCCCTGATGCATCAGGACTGGTGTCCTCAGTAAGAGAAGAGAGCTCTCTTCTCTCATACACGCACGCTTCCCGAGGAAAGGCTGTCTGCAGACTAGGGACAGAAGCCTCTCACACTGTGACCTCTGACTTCCGGCCTCTGGAACTGGGAGGAAATACAGTTATGCTGTTCAAGCCATTGAATCTATGATATTTTGTTATGGCAACCGGAGCTGCCCAAGACACCCGCCTAGAGGATCCCAGGAGAGGCCCCCGTTTCCCTCTCCAGATACCAACTCAGCTCTGGCAACAGCCTCTCCACCAGGCTCCCCGCCCCTGCCCTTGTGCTCTGCTCTCCACACAGCATCCAGTGAGATTATTTATTTAATTTTATGTATGTATGTATGTATGTGTGTATGTACGTATGATTTAAAGTGCGCCCCTGTGATTTTTTTAATTTTTTTTTTAACGTTTACTTATTTTTGAGACAGAGAGAGACAGCATGAACGGAGGAGGGTCAGAGAGAGGGAGACACAGAATCCGAAACAGGCTCCAGGCCCTGAGCGGTCAGCACAGAGCCCGACACGGGGCTCGACCTCACGGACCGCGAGATCATGACCTGAGCCGAAGTCGGCCGCTTAACCGACTGAGCCACCCAGGCGCCCCCCGTGAGATTCTTTTACAACAACTGTCAAGGGGGCCTGGGTGGCTCAGCCGGTTAAGCGTCAATTTCTGATTTCCACTCAGGTCATGACCTCACATGGAGCCTGCTTGAGATTCTGTCTCCTTGTGTCCTCCCCTGCGTGCGTGTGTGCTCTCTCTCAAAAAAACTGGGAAAGAAAAGTTATTAAAACAATTGTCAGATCCCACCCACTCTGCTCAGAACTGAGGCCCCGGGGGCCTCCACAGCCCCTCACCCGGCCGCAGCTCCACGGTCATGCACTGCCACCTGCCCCTCCCCAGAGCCCCCATTCCTCAGACTGCTCTGTTCCCCTACCTCCTTCAGATCTCTGCTCTTAGACCATGTCCTCAAAAAGGCCCACACCATGACCCAATCTAAGATGACAGCCCAGCTCTTCCATAACCCTGCCTCTCTTCACAGGGACCCTGCTCTATTTCTGCATCTCTCACCCTTCTCTGACAAGATACTGGTCATTTTTTACTCCCATTTTACAATGTCACCCCCTCAGCACTAGAATGTTGGCTCCACGAGGTCAAAGATTTAAGGCAGGAGAATGAATTGTCGCCCCCTAAGACATAAGGTTCCTAAAAGCAAATGAGCGGAGAGCTCAAATGCTACATCAAGCCAGGCCGAGTGACCACAGTGTCCGCACAAAGGCCTTGGCCTGGACCCCAGATGATAACCGGACCACATGTGGCCACACCAGAGCAGCAGGTGCCCTCACCCGGCAACACGAGCAACAGCCAGGGGACGGGTGGCAGTTTGGTGCCCACCCAGGGAAACGTGTTTGGTTTTGTTTTCTTATAGTTGCTTTATTTCCAGTACAAAGGGAAGAAAAAGTTGTCTTTCTTAATTAAACAGAGAATGACATCATCACGTTCAAACATCTCACTGAAAAATGCTTCCTGGAAGGACAGGCTTCACTTTGGAGATGCCTATCGGGGCCAGCCACCCCCAAGTGACTGGAATGGGACTGCAAGCACGGGTCAGTCCTGCAGTTTGAGCTCACACCTCTTCTCCAGGTCCGCCATCTCCTTCAGGACTAGGGCCACGCCGTACCTCAGCTCCTGGAACTTGGCTGTGGGGACCTCGAAGCGGTATGCTGACCCATCTGAAAGCTTCAGCTGCATTAGGACACTCGGCTGCAGGGAGCGGGCCAGGGCACTGGTGGAGATTGCCACATCCACCCTCCACCACAAGCTGGCAACATGGGGCAGCCAGGTCCCCTGCCGCCTGGCCACAGAGTTGAGGAGAAGCCGCTGGCTCCCAAACACCACGCTGGACAAGTCCATGACCAGGTCCTGGGGGATGCAGAGCTCCCGGAGCTGGTCTTTGAAGGCGTCGGGCTTCAGGCTGGCTGGGGGCAGCCGGAGGGCCTGCCGGAGCAGTGTGTTTGTGCCGGCTAGGAGGGCGCCCAGCCTTTCCTCCGGCAGGTCTGCGCCAGCCCTGAGGCGCTGCACAGCCTCCCGACAGTCCTCTCCCTGCAGACTGCTGACCACCAGCTTCAACAACTTTCTGAATGTGCCCCTGTCCAGGTCCCCCAGGAGCCGGGGCATTGCTGCCACTTCTGGGGGGAGCTGGGCCCCCAGGAAACTCACCCGGCTGCTGTGACTGTCACCAGGGTAATGCAGGTATGGAGATGCAGTCCCCACGGCAGACATCGCTGTTTCCTCCCTCGTGATCAGGCAGCCCAGAGGAAAGGTCCCAGCTGCAACTGCCAAGGGCGGAGGGGGAAGAGAAGCCCAGTAACTCCTCTGTCCTTTGAAGGGCCAGCAAATGAGGACTGACATGGTCTCTGCCTTGGGGAGGCCGACGGCATGAACCACTGATGACAGCCCATGTTACGGGAGGTTCCCTGAGAGCAGGTGGCACAGGGGTCCACTCGAATCCCGCGAAGAGGAGAGCCAGGAGTGGGCAGGGAAGGGAGACGGAGTGGGGAGGAGAAGAGAACCAGAAAACAAGAGAGCTCACATACGATCTCCAAATCCATAATGGGGAAAAGAATGAAGGAGAAGAAAAGTCCAGAGAACACAGGGACACACAGCCATGGCTGCTGCCACTGCCCACGGTAAGATCATTCAACTTTGAATTCTCACAACAGCTCTGCCAGAGCCAGTTCCTATCCTCACCTTGTCTATAAGGAAACCGGGGCTCAAACACAACTGCCAGGGCCTAGAACCAGGCCCGTCTATCAAAACTTCTGTTTCCACAGCACAGGGGAAACCAGACACAGTCACTCAGGCAGGAGGGGCTGAGGTACCTGGATAAAGGTCTGTGTCATTACCTGAAGGGACAGGGTAATGTCATGACACATCGCAGGTGACCGAGCCACACACCTGCTTATACAGGACGAGGGAGCACCGCCCACCTCAGCAGCTCCAAGCGCTTGAACAGAGCTCAGCCGGGCACAGATCCTGCCCCCAAGGCTCCCACCAGGCCCAGGGCGAGATGCGGCATCGCGGAGCGCTGGGGAAGCCCCGGGGGGCACGGAAAGCCCTCTACGCGGTTCATCGTGCCCATTCTCCTCGGAAGGCCGGGCCTCCCCTCACCCTGCCTGTCAGAGATCATCCACTGACAAACAAGGGGTCGTCCCCCACTGCCTGGCCACTATCAG